ATTGGGTTGCATTGACACCCGAACTAATGATAGGGAGTGAAGTAATTGAGCGTGTCGATCGCTTCACTTATCTTGGAAGTCTCATCAGCCCTTGTGGTCTGGTTTGTGACGAAATCTCAGCACGGATACAGAAGGCTCGACTAGCTTTTACCAACTCGCGTCATTTATGGCGTAGGCGAGATATCCGTCTATCAACCAAAGGACGGGTTTACTGTGCAGCAGTTCGTTCCGTCCTACTTTATGGCAGTGAAACATGGCCAATAAGAGTAGAGGATATTCGTAGGTTACTAGTATTTGATCATAGGTGTCTTCGAAACATTGCTCGTATATCCTGGGACCATCGAGTAAGTAACACAGTTGTTAGGAAACGGGTACTAGGTAAGGATAGCAAATCAATTGATGAAGTAGTGAAACTTCATCAGTTGAGGTGGCTGGGACACGTGTTACGTATGTCCAACGACCAACTGCCTCGACGTGCTATGTTCAGTGGTATAGGAGTAGGTTGGAAGAAAGCTAGGGGCGGCCAGACCAAAACATGGCACAAGTCCATGAAGTCACTGACAAGTGGACTGAGTCATGTTGGTAGGTGCAGACTACCTGGTTGGGGACCACGAGATGATAGCAACCGATGGTTAGAGACCCTGAATGACATGGCTCAAAATCGTTTGCAATGGCGCAGGTGCATCCACTCTCTGTGTTCTCCCAAATTCTAATCTTCTGAATTCTTCATGTCCCTTTTTTCCTCTTTCCAAATTTATTTCACTGGATTATACTCTTTAAATAACATCTCCAAACCCTAATCTTCCCGATTACTGCTTATACTCTTATTACCTCTACCACTACGGGATTTGAATCGACAACTGCATCTCTGTGCTTATGTGGTGTGGCAACTCGAACTGATGTACGTACGTACGAAGTTCTACGTTGTTACTGACTGACTGACTGACGCATAGCGCTCATTGTAAAGCTGGCAATTATGCATGGGATATTGCATTGTTAAGATAGACTTACATGGATGTAAAATGTTAAAATAGGCGATAATTAATACGCATCTGAAGACAATAAAAAGGAACAGGGATATGGTATAAAAGTGTATTGGTTGGCTAGCATACTTTGTATTACTAACAGAAAGAAATCATCAAAAAAAGCACAAAAATAGAGACGAGATAAATGCAGTGGTAAGCTGAAGGAAGTAAAGATTAAAAATATTTGCATGAATATCCCTCAAAATCTTTAACTACTAAATCTTGTCATCTTAAATAACCATATATACATATGTCACAAGTAGAGGCTATTCATAGTGGTCTAGCTTCAACTGACTCATGATTTCAATCTGTGAAATTTCTAAAATCTCCACAAACCCCTTCTGTTAATAATCATCTGCTCATTAGTGACTGACCTCAAGAGATACTCCTGGAGTTCTAGTGGGAAGTCGTTACCAGTGGAGTTCAACCAGGTCTGTTGTGAGATATCAACTCACTGAGGACAATGGTATACGGTGGCGCAACTTCGTGGATTGGTTGAAGTTAGACATTATCACCATTGGATGCCGGCTCAGTGGTCTAGTTGGTTAGGCGCCTGGCGCGAGACTGATAGGTCCTGGGTTCGAATCTTGCGGGGTGCGGGATCGTGGATGCGCACTGCTGAGGAGTCCCATACTAGGACGAAATTGCCGTCTAGTGCTTCCAGGTTTTCCATGGTGGTCTAGCTTTAACTGACTCATGATTTCAATCTGTGAAATTTCTAAAATCTCCACAAACCCCTTCTGATAGAGGCTATTCAATTGATAAAGATTGGTACATATGAGATTATATAACTTACATATATATATATATATATATATATATATATATATATATATATATATATATATATATATATATATATATATATATATATGAGGAATTACTGAATAGTTTTTCAAGTCACTGGGCGGCCGTTACTTCTAAAGATATTTGAATACTTTATCAAGTTATACTGCATTAACAGCCATTTGCTATCCGTCAACATTCTAGAAGACTTATTGGTTAAACCACACTTAATATCAGCAAGCCATATACAACATAAAACCAGATAAGTGCGTCAGCTGAAATCGCCACAAACCATTAGCACAGCAGAATAAAACTACCAAGACAAAGCCCAGAGAAGTAGTAATAGTATCAGCAGATTAGATATGCAAAAAGTATAAGGGAATTTCGCCACCAGGTTCTAGGGGAAGACAAAAAGTGAATGCCTGAGCCATTGAGAACGATCTTGAGTGTCACCTGAAGTCTCTAAACACTGATCACGATAATCGCGAGGACCCCAACCAGATAACCTACACGTACCTACATGGTTCAGTTTATTTGCATCTTTAAAATGAGAATGCAGAAATTTTAAAATTTATCCATGCAACAATGCCTCAAATTGTAGATGAATATCAGAACACAGAACCGCTGGTTAATTGAGCAACTACAGAAATAAAACTGTCAGGATGAGTATGAGCTAGATTTAATGCAGTAAAAAATAAATCACCAAAAACGGACATTAACAACTCATGAAGGGGACGTGTATCAGTTTTGAGAGATGAAGTGGCTGGTAGACAACTGCCTCCAAATACCCTGGTACGATCGAGGGTGGGGAGAATCAGCTCTCCCTTTCAAAATCCTCTCACATGGCCACGCGTATACAGCCACTGACAGGGAAGTCCTACTCACTGTCTTCTTGCGGCGGGGTGTTTTTCACGAAGTTGGGGACGAAAAGTGAATGTCCAGCGCTGTACTTGGGTTGGTGGATACGGAGGGTCCACCTAGGGAGGTTAGAGAACCGTGGTGCACATGGCGTGCAGGACCCTTAGAGAAAAAAGGCGTATGGACTAATTGTTGGTCAACGGTTATCATGCGACTGCATCTCCTTACGTTGTTCCACTGTCTTGTGGACTATACCTTTAGGTCAAAGGTCCTGGAGGTGGCCCTCTAAGAAAACCACCCGGTCCGGTGTGAGCACTCGTGGAATATTACAGTTCCCACACAAATCCATGAAAACTACTGGCCACATTGTTGTTGTGTGGTACATATGTAATTGGTGCCTCCTTGTACCAATGTTTACGTTCAAATAAATAAATAAATAGGTAGACAACTGAGTTCCTGATATTTGCAATAAATTAACGACAACCACTCAGTGGTTCTGACACAAGCAAGCGTGGTTTCGTTTACTACTCGAAAATCATGCTTGATAGTCATAAACTAATACAGAAAGTGCATTTTTGTTAAGTGTGTACTTTGCAAACGTTTGGTGAAACTACAAAGAGTTATTTTTTTTACTTTAACATCTCCTTCGATGAACCACTGTCATTATACAGTGGTGCAACAAAATGATGAGAATTTACACTAGTGAAAGCTTTGTTAGGATTCAAAGCCGTAAGCAGACTTGTAACATAATTGAAATCCTCTTAAACTGATAGAACCAAGATGTATGATAGAGAAATGTAAACATTTTGTCAACTGCCACCGAATGAAGTGCTAACTAGCCTTGATTTGTAAAGTAATCCTGATTTATAAAAAACGGTAGTCTCAACGGAGATTATGTTTGCAACACACACATTACAGATGCTTGCAGCTCAAAGTAACGATCTGTCTGAGAATGCATAACTCACTTAAGCAAGTCATGAAGTTTTTTCACCATGTATTCATTTTCAAGCACCCAGGTTTATAAGCTAAAGACCTATATATAGGGGTTAGAGAGATGACTATCTGTGGTTACAACCAAAAATTATGAGGCAGTTAGAATGGACAACGTAAGATGCAGACCTATGTACAGAATTCTACCTTCTTTGCTTTCATAGCGAAATGATATTCACCGCTTAGAACACTAACCGACAACAAATCGGTACCAGAATTCACTTACAAACTAGTATGGCGAGACTCTAATTTAAGGACGACCTTTGAACGAATCTTAAATGACCTTGACAATTATTAGCTAATCAGAAGAAAGTTAGTATAAAGTGAAAATATATTATATGAAAGTAATGAATAACAGTGGATATTCTCCTTTTACATGATTTAAAAACTTGTTAAGGTTTGATTAAGGTTCAGAGGTTCTGAATTCACAATGCATATGGAATAGAAACTCGTCCATTGGGTTAGGTTTACGGGTAAGGTTAGGGTTTAGGGTTAGGATTAGGGTGCTAACATACGGTTAAGGTTTAGGGCTAGGATGCTAACATACGAGTTTTTATATCATGTAAAAGAAGAATATCCACTGTAAATTATTACTTTCTTTTAATTGGTTTTTACTTTATGCTGTCTTCTGATTGCCTAATAATTGAAATTACTCAAACGGTTGATTGGCTCGTCCCTAAATTGGAGTATCGCCACTAGTATGTATGATGATAATAGGGGTCAACGTAATATCCGAACAGTAACATCATACGTGAATACTCGCTTGATCTGACAAAGGAATGACACCTCGAATTCCTAATAAGACGACATCAGTATCAACAAACTTTTAACCAAAAGGGACGAGTGGGTCACCTTATTCAAATGAACGCATTAGAAGCTAACATACTCTGAAGGAATAGATCGCTTAAAAAGCAGTAAGACAGTGAACAAACTCCATGTCCATAAAGGCTAAAGCACGCGAAAAGCGTTAACAGGAATAAAAAACTATACCTTTCAGTGAACCGATACGGACATTAAGACCTGAAAATGTAAATTATTAGATTGATGTAAAAAAGCTGAGAATAATACTTTAAAATGAACTAAACGCACTTTTAGAGTCGCGTGAAAACCGTTGATTTGATTTTTGAAATGTTTTGTACAATTATAGTCCCTCGAAAAACCATTTGATAAATCCCGCTTTTGCAATCTTAACAGTAGGGTCATAAAGCGCGCATTCTTGACTCAAACAAACAAAAATGAGACAATTTGACACAGTATAAACAAATTCAATTTTCAGTAAGCAAAATAAATTTATATGCAGCTGCCTATCACTTTTCATTTAACCCTATATTTTGATCATTTGTTTTGGTTTATGCGTTACTTCAAAGTTTGTTGTTCCCTATTATCGCTGTCCATGTCTGCTGCATCGAAGAGTTCAAATCAGGTTTATTGTTAGTCCCAGCCCTTTTCATGTGTAATATTTTGATACTTTGATTTGTCGGCCTATGATTTATTTATGTTTGCACTTGTGATTTTTTAAAATAATGACATATATTGCACTTACTCACAGATTGCAACATGCAAAATAAGAAAACCTTTGAGTATCTAAATCAAATATCGCCTTGTGTTCTACTAGTATAATATATAAAAATATTCACCATTACTGTCCTACATTTACTGCGTGTTGTATAAAACGTCAGCTCCTGATAAGTATCAACAGACACTCACATATTTCAGTTTATCTTGAAGTATCCCATCCGAAGATAGCTTTCGATTCTTTCCGTCAGTTTAGCTTTTGCGTCATCTCTGGTTGGTCGAGTTAGATTTCGACTTAGTTTTCTTCCGATCTGTTGCATCATCATTATCTTTCAGTAAGAAAAGTGCAGATGTTCTTGTATCTCTTTCTCATTGTGATTTTCTACAGGCTCTAAGGCTGATTATAACCAATTCCTCACCTGAGTATCCCTGTCAGTTTGGTTTTGACAACACAATATTTGAATCGTCATCTATTAGTCTCAAAACGTTTGGATCCAGGATAAAATGTGGTTTCATTAGACCTCTATTTTTTAATGCAACTCTTTCTTTCGCGAATTTTTGTTGGGAGGCTCGGTTTGGATTTACGTTCAGGAATAAAACTTTCTTATACATGTAGATTGTTTATACAAGCAGATTGCTTGTTAAACTTTATACTCCCTCACAATCCGCTTCATTTACTTCTTTACGAAATGAATTTTTACCTCTTTTTAGCCAATAATAATTGGGGCACAATCTCTTACTTTATTGTATAGTATTGTTGGTGTATTCAAACTTCAGTAAGTATGGGTTAACCAAAAACAGTAATTTTGATCTGTTCCTTTCCAGATTCTTACTAAGTTTTGGAATATCCTCCCGTCAAAAACTTTACTGTTTGGTTGTTTTATCGGTACTTGCTCCCCTGAAGTAGACCAAAAAGCCCCATGGCGCTCGTCAATAAAGTAAGTATTTTGATTGCTTATATGTTCTTATGATTAGATTCAACCGAGTCATGCTGTTCCACCTACTAAACGCGCAGAAAAGTTAAAAAGAGTTGGATCTCTTGTGGAATTATTTGATTTCTTCGTGTTGAATGAAGGGACGGTTATTGATACTGTGTCTGTTAACACCTTCTTATATACCTATCGCATATTTGCTGATATGGAATTAGTCTTGGAAGTTGTAAATAAAAAGCAAGTATGACTTTGTATAAACTGTATAATAATCCGTACAGATTTTGGGATACATGCCATTCAAGCCTAATACCTACCTCTTGGAAAGTTGGGATTATTTCGTAAGTCTCTTTTGTGAATGGTCTGCCTCTTTTTGTTGTACATCCCCTTGCCTTTAGCTTTCACTATGGATCTACCTACTTTATTTTTCGTAGTGACTCAATAAATGTTAATCCTCTGACTTAACTGATAAGGGACCAACTACCCACACGAAATTTACCATACGTTCTCAGCCTGCTAATCAGAACGCCTGAAGGACTACACAAGCAGCTCACATTACTATGTATTGTTCAGACTCTAAGGCTCACGTTATTGCATACTTAAAATACAATACTATGATGTCCCATGAATATGTACCATAATACATGCAAATCCGGGATGTTTGCGATATGAATCTCGATAACGGGATTATAACTGTTTAGAAGTAGTTTGAGAATGAAGAAAAATATGGAAATAGATAATAAGTTTAAAAATGCAATTGAGATGACACTGAAACACCACAAAAAATTATTTACGAAATATGTATTCTTTGAGTCGCTAGAGAACATCGTCCAAACTTCCCCATTCCTACTTATTCACCTATTAATACCAAAATCGCTGGTAGGTAATATTTTTAACTCCGCAGTAAATGTTTAATTTTTCAAGCATTAGTTTGCTTACCCGATATTGTAAAGAATTAGTGAATTACTAATATTATCGAAAAATATGTTACCTGTTGTTTTGATGAAGTGTCCTCATATGTTAAAACTGGATTTTGTACTTTGGATTTATGGATTTGTCAGATATTTGGGACATATTTAACATCATCACTATCGTATATCTTGTTGTTAATTCTGCAAGGTTTCTTTAAGATATAGTAAAGTAAAGGACAACTCGTGTTTTACGTACTGAGGTGCGGGATTAAGTTCTAATGTGTTGAGAAGTTTTTCTTCTTTGTTTTATTCTTTAACATAAACTTTTTTTACTATTTTATGTATATTTTTCAAAGACCGTGGGAAAACTCGCTATTACATCCATATTTGAAAATATTATTTGATGTACTGATAGAATTGAACTGGGTGCATGAAAAAACAAGTGCTTACTTACTACTTGCATACCAGCTTTCTGGTGTCTTTAACTAAATGTTCGCTGATACAAACCCCACTATAAGGCCAGGTTTCGGTACAGATTAATGTAATTCATCCTTTACTGGCTCACCTGTAACTTGCGTTTTTTTGTGATCAGTTATTTTCCAGTGATTTTAGATCGCTATCACTTTATAAGAGTATTTTATTTGACTGAATTTTCATATTTAAATTACATGGATCATCTCGAAGTTGTTTGTATTCCTCATCAGAATGTTAGCAATTTATCACCCATTGTTTTCAAAAATTGTTTTCTGTGTATAGGTCTTTTCAGTATTTTCTTGGTGCATGGTTGCAGCAGCCTCATGTAAAAGATTTTGATTCCCCACAGAAAATTATCCATCTTAAATGGCTAATACGGATTCTTGCCGGTTGGTTTGATGTTTTTCAACCCTCTTATAATCACGACAGTCACAATTATGTTCTAAAAGAGTTAATGAGGTGCTGTGGAAATAATATGTCTTCTAAAAATCAAGATACGACGCGAAGCGTTTTGTGCAACATTGATTCAGAAGTTTGGGATCGAATTACTGCAGATATGGAGTATTTATGCCGACAAGCTGTAAATTGTCTCAAAATCATAGCCTGTAAATATCAAATAGACTTAACTCGGGAAAAACAATTACCGTCAGTGCGTATAATCACCATAAATCGAGGTAAATGTTAATTCTGTATAACGTCTACTAATGTATATGTATATACAACTTGATAACATGTGTAGATGTTTCATCTAATTACCGTTGCAAGATAGTTTAAATTTATATTTGTAACACAGTAATTAAAATTGCATAATTGAATTATATACATATATATAATTTTCTACTATTACTATCTATTTCGAAAAGTTACGTTACCAGGAGTTTTTAACTTTTCCCTTTTTCTTAGTCAGTTGTCATCATTCACTACACAACTCTGCAATGCATAAATCAGAAAAGCATTTAAAAGAAATAATTACCATTACACCTTCTATTAACCCCTTAATTAATCTATGGAATTTAAATTTAGATACAGTTGCTGAACAACTGACTGTTGCTGATCAGGTAGGAAATTTTATTGAATAACCTGGTTATTTTCATATGAGATTCTGATTAGAAATACATTTTATATAGACATTTTTTATGATTTGTTTGCAAAAACTCACCCTATAGTAACACCACCTGGACAATTTTGATGATAAATTTTGTCCATGTGGCCCACATGGGACGATATTTTTAATTTAAGTGTATTTCGGTCATCGCGAAGTATTGGGGTCTACGACGTATAATTCTCTCCATTTAAGCCTGGTTAGTTGGATATGTCGGATTCCCATTGTTGTTTTCTTCCTTTGAACTCGAGACACTTATCCATGTAAATAGACACTGAAGTGTTACGTACTAAGCTTGTGAGTTACGACAGCCATTAATGGCCAAGGAACTATATATTTTCCGGTTTTCAAATGTCAGGATATAATTTTTATGTTTATGTCGGCTAATCATTTCAGTCTTGAGTCTTGTAAACATGGATACAAAGAGCCTTTAGCTTTCTCTTAATTTTTAATTAGAATCTGCGTTTAATCCTGTTTTTAAACTACCTATTGGCTCTAATATGTTTTTCTGTCTTAGAGATTATTTCTCGACATGGAGTTAAATGATTGCCTGATATATGCTAGAGGCAAACCTGCTCCATCCGTGCAAGCTACAATCGACCAATATAATAAATTATATCATCTTGTCCAAAGTTCAATGTTTAACTCAGATCAGGATTTTCCAATACTAGTAGAACCTACACCGATCTATTCACGACGTTTTAATAAACGGGGTAATTATAATAGTCCAACGACAAGAGTTAGTCCACAGATAATAACGATATGGTCTAAAAATTCACCTAATCATAATTCTTTGGCATCGGATGTGGGAAAATTAAAAACTGGATGCATAATTACATGGATTGATATTGCTTATGTAAGTTCGCTGTTCGGTAAGTTATAAATACATTTTTTCTCAACGTAATTGTGTATTTACTTTAAACTTTCTTTTCGGGCAATATTAGGTTAGTGGGTTTGTTGTTATTCCTTTATTTGATATTTAACAAGAATATAATGACTGACCAATTTGCACGTTGTAGAGCTATTTTGTACTTGTTTAGATATTGTATTTTAGGTTACAAGTTTAATTCTATATTCAACTATATTGGTTGCAACGTAAATCTGTCTTATTTATCACTACTTGACATTAATGGAGTTCTTGAGGTGATTGTACCTTTATTACGGTTGAAGTTTGTAAGCCTGATTCATTTTAACTTCTTAGAGTTCTACAAATTAAAATTTAGTATGAGAGCTCTTGGAAAGTTTAGTTTGACCAGTGTAATTGTTAGTCAGCGCACTAGGCGGTGATTATTTGACGATTTCTAACAGCATTATTATTTGATACCCTATGTTTTTCTCTAACTTCAGATCATGTTGGTCATGTTTCTAACTTTAAGTAGTATAGTTTGGTTTTCTTATAAGTATTATTAGACGCATGTTTTACATGCACTTGAATTCCTGGTAATAGCTCGGGAATTCAACAACTCATCAAACAGTTCTCATAAACAAAATGTTTCTTTTCACTTAACACTTGCTTATAACAAAAATATGATGTTTTGTGATTTCCTCAATAAAAGTGACTCAAGTTATTTCCGAGATAAATCAACCATTTTAGCTTATGTGAAAATCATTTATCTCCGGTATGCTTTATTCACTTGCTGTTACCTTAACATACATTGTTCAATATATTATCGGTCTTATTGTAGTATATGCCTATATTACATTTAAAATAAGCTAAATTGGCAGTGACTGGTTATAGACATATTGGGAGCTCCACCTACATGTAGTAAAACTATTGAATGGGAGATCTGTTGAACAAGTCAGTGGCAATTAGTAAACTGCTGGATAGATAAGTAAATATCTGTTAACTAGGGTTTTTACACCATGTTATACGGACGTCTTTTTGAAACAAAATTATTAAATGATACTTACTAGCAAAGTCATCGATCAAATTTACTTGTTTGCATGTTACCGTTCAGTTTAGCAGTTGCATATTAACACCGGCTTAAACTAGGATCAATTATCCACTTCATAAATTTTTAATTGTTCCTTTAATCTATAGATCACTTTTCAGAGCTGGAACTTAATCATTTGTTTTACTAAAGATAAATTCAATGTCTGTTTCTAGATTCCCTAAATAATGATTGAAGTAGAGTTTTGTCGTGCTGCGAAGTGCATTTACAAACCCTATATGTGTATTTTAGTTGTTAAAACACTTATCCAACTACAATGTAATCTGAGTTTCGACTCAAATTTGACTCACACTACCCATCATCATAATGGGTAATGTGAACAATTATCACTATCTAGCTGACTTACTCAGTTAATCATCATTACATTCTTTTGTTTGTATTTAAATTAACACAGAACCTTAAAAGATAATGTGGTTTGGAAATCCATGTCAGATTTACACCAAATTTTACGTCAGTTTTACTGGTTCTTCTAGACCTGTACTGCATGAATGTACGACTTTTGTCAGAATTCTGGTGTAGTAATACTGAATATTTTAAGGTTGGTGGCTAGGACTTGCATCTTCCCTATAAAATATAACTTCCATTATGTCTATTTTTCCTTTTTTTAAAGCGATTAGGACAAACAAAGAATTATTCAGCATTAAAAGCCATAATTATGGCTTTGCAGTCCACTCCAGTACTCCGATTATGGCATAGTTGGAATGTTTTGGAATAGTGAGTTAAAAAGATTTGTATATTAAAAAAGTTTCTTCTTATATCTTATCTTTTTCATATTACGTATATGATAAACTATAGAAAAATTTATTTCAAAGCTCTTCGAATACTTTTCTTATTTCACAAGCATATACTAATGAAAGTGATAGAGATTTTCAAATTACTCTGAGTTATTCTACTTTTTCCACATCTGTCTTGATCTTATTGGTTTAGCATGTTTTATACTAATGTCATGTGATTTTTCATCGACTTTAATATTTTCACAACTAGATAAATCTAATTCATATGATTCTTCAACAGTTTCATTTCGCTTTGCATTACTTATTAATAAAATCAGTATCTGGTTCCAAATATTCTTTATTAATATATTTTAGTATACTTTTATTCTCATAAATGATTCATATAAGAACGTTACGAACGTTAATAATAAATACATTTTTATATTTCAATAAGTAGACGTTTCATGACTTAATTTAAGCCACTTGCTCAGAATAAATAAGTAGTAATTACTACCAAAAACAAAATTAGTAGTTAAGTATTTTAGAAAAAAATAATCCAATGTCAAAGTTTTCGATTTTCAACCAATGAGTTTCACATTCAAGCTCCTACTTCATTTGTGCTACTCTGGTATTTTGACTAGCCCTTGTAAAACTAAGGTTCGAAATTGAATCAAAAAATCTTTTAGAAATTCACAGTCATTTAACTGCTATATATATATATATATATATATATATATATATATATATATATATATATATATATATATATGAGTTAGCCTTAAGTTCCTATTCCAAAACTCTTATCATTTCACGAAGTGGACCTAGAGGGCACAACCCAAAACCAACTTTTAGTGAATACAGATGGGCAGAGTACTTCGAGGAACTCCTGAATAGGCCGGCTCTAATGAATCCACCGAACATCAAAACAGCACACACAGATCTTCCAATAGATGTCAATCCACCAACGACGGAAGAAATCGGAATAGCCATCAGACAAATCAAGAGCTCAAAGGCAGCAGGACCCGACAATATACCGGTTGAAGCACTGAAGTCAGACATCGAAGTAGCTACAAACATGCTTTACCTTCTATTCAAAAAGATTTGGGAGAAGAAACAAGTGCCGATGGACTGGAAAGAAGGACACGTCATCAAGATTCCAAAGAAAGGAGATCTGAGAAAATGTGAAAACTACAGAGGCATTACACTACTGTCAATACCAGGGAAAGTCTTCAACAGATTGTTGCTGAACCGGATGAAGGATGCAGTAGACGCCCAACTTCGAGATCAACAAGCTGGTTTCCGTAAGGATCGGTCGTGCACAGACCAAAATGCGACACTACGGATCATCGTTGAACAATCAATTGAGTGGAACTCGTCACTGCGCATCAACTTCATTGATTATGAAAAAGCATTTGACAGTGTGGATAGGAGAACTTTATGAAACTTCTTTGACACTACGGAGTTCCTGGGAAGATTGTCAATATTATCCGGAACTCATACGACAGACCACAGTGCAAGGTCGTGCATGGAGGACAGCTGACAGATGCATTCAAAGTAAGGACCGGAGTCAGACGAGGCTGTTTACTCTCTCCCTTGCTCTTTCTTCTGGTGGCCGACTGGATTATGAAGACCTCGACATCTGAAGGAAAACACGGAATACAATGGACAGCTCAGAATCAATTAGACGATTTGGACTTCGCAGATGACCTAGCCCTCCTATCGCGTACACACGAACAGATGCAGATAAAAACAGCCAGTGTAGCAGCAGTCTCTGCATCAGTAGGCTTCAGTATACACAAAGGGAAAACCAAGGTCCTCAAATTCAAAGCGGAGAACAACAATCCAATCACTCGTGGTGGCGAAACTCTGGAAGATGTAGAGTCCTTCGCATACCTAGGAATCATCGTCGATGGACAAGGAGGTTCAAATGCAGACGTAAAGGCGAGGATTGGCAAAGCAAGGGCCGCATTCCTACAATTGAAGAACATATGAAACTCAAAACAACTGTCAATCAATATCAAAGTGAGAATCTTCAATACGAATGTCAAGACAGTTCTACTGTACGGAGCTGAAACTTGGAGAACTACAACAACCATCATCAAGAAGGTGCAAGTATTTATAAATAGCTGTCTACGCAAGATACTCAACATCGATTGACCGGATACCATCAGCAACAGCCTTCTGTGGGAGAGAACAAACCAGCTTCCAACTGAAGAGGAAATTAGGAAAAGACGATGGAAATGGATAGGACATATACTACGCAAATCACCAAAGTGCATCACGAGGCAAGCCACAACTTGGAATCCTAAAGGAAGGCGGAAAAGAGGAAGGCCAAAGAACACATTACGTCGGGAAATAGAAGCAGATATGGAAAGGATGAATAACAACTGGAAGGAGCTGGAAAGGATTGCCCAGGACAGGGTTGGATGGCGAATGCAGGTGAGCGGCCTACTGTCCTTCACGAGGAGTAACAGGCGTAAGTAAGTAAGTAAGTCTTCCTGAGTCCCATTTCTTTATTCAGATTCAGTCTCATCAGTTGTATAATTTATGCCCAAAGTTACTCTATTAGTGGTCCCACCATACATAAATATTGTTTGGAACCTGTTGATCTAGGATAATCAACTTATATGTATACTACAACCTCTTGCATATTTTTTCTACCTATTTTTTCCATTTTATGTAAACCTGAATTCAGTCATTATCATGAACATTTTATGAAGTTTAAATATTTGGCTTCTGTAGTAAGCTTTGATAATAATCAAGAACAATTGAGAAAACGGTTAGATAAGGTAGGCTTTATTATTGTAACTATTTGGATGAATAAGAATATTATTATTTTTACCGTTATTGTTGTTATTGTAGTTTCTCATACAAATAAGCTGAAAACCATATATCTTTTTATTACTAAGGTGGACATCGCTTGAAAATCAACTAGAATGGTTCTACAAACCTTAAATGATTAGTAATTGTATTCTATATTAAATAAAAATTTGGACTGTAACAGAATTTAAAGTTATCTAAACACTTGAGTAGTTGCTTATTTCATTGATTGATTAAACAAGTTTTGTAAAACGCCATTAAAATGTTGATCTTGGTTCTGTATACCAATTTCGATTATAGAAATAGATGAAACTCTATGCATAAGGTTTTAAATCGTTTATACTGTTTAAGTTCTCTTGCTTTTTTACTTTTAAAAATAGGAATACAGATCTACATATGAGAGATTTCCTAACTGTTTTAGTTGAATTCCCTCCGTAATTAATATCTGTCATACCATTTATTCACAGAAGACGCTTATTTGTGTACTTACAAGTAAAGACGTAAAACATTTCTTTTGATAATCAAAAAAATACTAGCGCATATAAACTTTATTGATCCTTCTCAATTCTCATTTGTTAAGAAGCACAATGCAAACATCAGTGTCAGCAATTATTGTCTTCTGCACGTTTCACTATATAGAAAATCAAAATTATCTAACTCAAAAAGATAAACAGTAAACGGTATACGTGTATGAATTCACCAATAGTCTTACTTGTGTTCTGTTAACTGATGTTACTACAAGTAGTAATAATATCAATGTCTACACCCTTCAAATTGGGTATATGGAAGTCAGTAAAAATGAAAATATTTCCCCAGTATTAAACAGTCAGTAATCAAGAATTGAAAAATCCAATAATGTTCTGGGTTAAATCCATCTTTTATCTAATATCATAGATTCCTCAGGTCTTCGAATAGTTTTTTCTTATTATCTTTAACGAAAACTCACATTTTAGAAAAGTTTTGTTGTGAGGGGATCGAAAACACTGTTTCATAATGTAAAGTGACTGTTCATAAGTATAACGTGGAGTAACTGATCGTTCTTTTACCTAAAATTAGCTGACGTTTATGATGACTTCGAAGCTTTAAGTTTTTACGAAGGGGAGAGATCCATCTTACATCAACTGTGTAAAAACCAATAATGTTCAATATTGTACGAGGAAGTTGTGCAAGGAAATCTTAGTCATTTTTCTTGAAACCGTTGATTAGTTTTTAATCTATTGTGTAATAGTTATTATTTACATTCAAACTGTTGATCTTCATAAAAAGTGTGCTATTTATTACACTCCGTTTCTCGTTGATTGTCGTCACTCATGATGTAGATGTGAATTAGTATCTCATACTCCACTTTACCTGATTCACTTAAATGTTTTGTGTGATTGCTTACATGAAGTACATAACTTCCATAGGCTTGTGTAATATAGATTCTAAAATGATTCCAACCATCACATGGATATACAATTCACATTATAGTTTGAACGACCAATACTGTGGAATATTCAAATATTTCCAATCTAGTTATGTACTGGAACTCTTGATCATGATAACAGTAATGATGACTGTTATTTTTATATCATGTTATCAACAATACAACGCTAGGGAGGATACGTTTAATTTTATTCAAAATAAGTATCGATTGCTTTAGTCACTTCGCTGTCATTGAATTGGAGGTCCAAGTCTTTTTTCATTTATAGAAGTTTGAGAGCGTAGATATTATGGTTATCTTTCATGATATGCTTGCCACTTAAGTTTTTCGATTAAGTTAATGGATCAGTGAATTAGTCGCCCAATAGAGACCAACTGTTTAAATTTCTATTTCAGTGATGCATTGGTAAATAATCCATGTTTTTCTGGTAATGAAACATAAGTTCTGTAGGCTCCATTTAAAATTACAGCCAAACCATTAGATACACGTTTCATTTTTATCCTTACCAGTTTATAATATCGTCAGTATGGGGTTGTAGAGATGGTTGAATTTCGTTGAAATCATGAACCGATCCACCACTAAAACCTCGGTAGTATATTGAACAGCCATTTCGTCCTAGTATGGGACTCCTAAACAATATGCATCCACCATCTCACGCTCATAACTCATACCCAGAACCTTCGATCTTGCGTGCGAACGCTTAACCACTGGGCCGACATCCTATGGTGTTAATGTCTAACTTTAATCAATCCATGACATTGTGCGACCATCTTTCATTGTCTTCAATAAGTAGTTACCTCACACCACACATGTATTAGCTGTACTGGTTACGACTCCGGAAATTTACTCCTGAACATAGTCACTAGTAAGCAAATATTGTTCAATTCATATCTAGATATGTACCTATCATTATCGTTTCATTATATTTGGTTGGTCAAAGGAGCATTATTGTGTCATGACTTAGAAATACTTGGAAGTATTATTTGTTGCACTTTGGTCTTATAATTCACATTTTGGTTGTCTGATTTCGTGATTTAAAGTTCTCAATTTTTTTGAGAAGATAGTTTTGAACATATACGTAATATATTCTAATTTTTTTCCGCCAATCAACTGATATTGGGTTTTGAAAGAAATCGTCAAGTTTTATTTGATTCAATAATGATCAATATGACTATAAGAAATCCACTTTTACTCAAATAAATTACTTCCAACTGCATAAATATTCCGTTTCTCCTGACTCACTTCTCACTATATATGCTTGTGTAAATCTATCTACGTATTTGAATAAATTATCTAATTTTTAGGACAAAAAAACTTATTTATTCAATGTGTTCCTTTTTTTGTATTCTGATACAGTGTGCGAACAAAATGTATTGGTACTTAAAACTCAACAATCCAAATCCATTATGTGTAAGTTTTGTAGAATCATTTTTTTTGATAATCTCCTCACAGTTAATATGTTAGAGGCAGAACACTAATTCAACAAACGTAATTGGTACCAAACATATACAGGTTTACGACGCTTAAAGTGTTGTCAACGAATTTTCGAATAAAAAAAATACTAGTATTTTGTAAAAGATATTGAACTGTCCGTAAGAAGATAAACGTTGCTGTGTTAGCCTTTTGTATTTTTCGTCTGTAAATAATCTTGGGAAACAAAAGGCAAAGTTGCGCATTAACAATAAGAATTTACATTTCCGAACTCAAGAATATGATTTTTCTGGAATATTTTCAACAGTCGTTTATTGCGTAACTATATTGTATGCCATCAGATGCATTCGCTCAAGATTATAATATTTTGAGTAATTATTTGCTAGTTTTAAACAGCCAGAAGTGCGTTATGTGAGTGGTTTGTACTATACATCAGTATTGAAGTAAATGATGATATATTTACATTTTAACTGAAGAAATATCTTAAAGTTCCCCCATGAATAGTTTGATATATATATATAATATACAAATTATTCAAATCAAACTTTAGCATTTAAACGTCAGGATTTAGATGTATGGTTCATGCGTTTCAGTTATTTACGTTCTATTTACTTACATGTTATTCATAAAGGTTTGCCTGAATATATTCTTGGCGATGACTTTTTAAAGGTAGTAATAAAGTCCATTTTTCTGAATACCTTCAATGAATTGTTACGTCCATAGGCAGAATTAGTCATGGTGTAATGAAAACTAACGTGGCATATTACCAAATTGAACTACATTTGATAATTTCATAAGATGTGTTCAACTATAAAAGGTGAAGTGTACAATATTGACGATTGTTGTAATGCAGACAAAATATTGATGCTGGCTCTGCGTAGACAGATTTTTATGAGAAACAGTTTTATTATCATAGTACATAAATTTAGTTTGTAAAGTTTAAGCTTCCAGTATATGAGATTATTATATCAATCATGACAATTTATGAGATTGCATAGCTACACATATTAGGTATAAAGTACAAATTGATATTAAGAAGACAGGTGTTTTAATATTTTCATATACCCTTATAAATATTCATGTATATTAGAGTAAAGCCTGACAACAATCAATTTGTAAACAATATTGTTCACTTATGTGTATCGTTTATAAAATCATATGCAACCAAATGGTACATATATTATTAGAAATCAACACTACTCTTGGGGATACTAGATCCCCAAAAATCACTTGACAAACGTCTCATTTTTGTAATTTTATTTTGAAGTCTTGAATTTCTCTTTTTCACTCCAAAAGCGCCCACTTTTACCTTCAGTTTGTATTTTCCGCTTGGGAGGACCTAAAATGTTAGTGGTTCATCTCCTCTCTTAGTACTCTATTTTGTGACGTTTTCCAATGAAATTTTTGTACTATATATATACACGCATGTGTTGTGTGCTTGTTCGTTCGTACTTCCGGGCTATCTGTAGAATAAACATTTCCCTAAACTGAATTTAGTCTTCTCCCTCTAGTTAGCAGGGCTGGGATGCAATGAAATTGTTTAACTTGTCCTGTTGTTGTGCTACTAACCTTCGTTTCGTTCGCCTGTTTTAAGTGATATCTCAATCTCTTCAAACGTAGCAACTACCACATTCAGTTTAAAGTGAATTTTTATTTGAATCTTCTTACGGTCCTATCCGAAAGTCACTCTGTATATGACCTTCCAAAAACAATGAATACAACAGATATATTTGTTTGTTGATAAATAAAAGTAAACATCTATTAATACATTTTTCTGTTTTGTCAAACAAACATGTGATAATAATCACTTCAGTCAATAGCTTTTAGTAAAACCATCATTATTTATTTCAGTATGTTTTTCCTCTATGTTTATGTTTCTTGAAATTTCAAATGTACTTTTAAGCCATCTGTTTGTGTTTCCTTTTTAATCGGTATTGTTATTTTTTCACTTATTTAAAAGCTATTGTTAGGCAGAGTTGAATGATTGTATTATAATAGAACTTTCCATGATATTCAATTGGTTGTTTGGTCTAAATATGGTAAAATTGTAATCATTAGGATATAACTTGTGTTGTTCTACATATGTTCAATAAAAATTACTGCTTTGAATCCTTATTGTTCACAGTTAATGCTTAGAGCCCACTGACACAAAGCCCTGGATCTATGTTCTCTGTAGGGTTTGTACTCTTCAAAATTGAAGAGACTAATGTGTTCGGGAAAATTTGAAACACAATACATGGTGGCTTAGTTAAAGATGTTACAATTAAGTTATTCGTTTTCTGACCGAATTTCTAACCATGTTATCACCACCGACTAATATCTGATGTCATACTGTTTCTAGTCTTTAATAGCAATAGAATTTATCGACTAGTTTGCAGTGTTTCCACTGAAATAAGTAATTTGACTTCGTAGTACACCGTGTTGGCTATCAGAAGTTTCGTGATGTTCTGGTATTATGCATAGATTATTTGAGTACAGGTAAGTTTACATAAAAAATACCAGTAAAAATTTGACGAATAGATTAAAATTGACCAGTATCTTATATATATCAACCACTAAGAGATTCTGAACAGATCCGTGATTTATTCATTTACTGAACTCCATAATTTGTTGACTTATTGTTCTTTTCGATTCTCCCAAACTATCATATTTTTATATTGCGTCTTATCTTTTCTTTTGGTTTATTTAATATGATCTACTTTTGATACGCACCTACCGACTTTCTCGTTTAAATTACATAATGAAATGGTTTCAGTCAATATAATTTTCAAGTATTTCATAAATTTCTAACAAACCACTAACAATAAGCTTGTTAATGTATAAAATTAACGAACTCATTTCCTTTTCTTGCTTTTTATCAACTTCAGCAGAAATCCCTAAGTTACAATAGACTCAAATTGGTCACTATTTACTAGTTAATCAATTGTAAATATCTTAGTTCTACAGATCAGTTGCAGCCAGTATACCTTAATAGTAACGTTTCGGATCGTGAAGCTAGGTGGTGCAGATTTGAATCCATCAGGGAGAAACAGTTCCTTAAAGAATACAGCTACACCTTACTGACGAACGCCAACCAACAAGAAACCAAAGTCTAGGGTTTCTTGCCGGCCACCTTTAAACACCTGACATTTCAATATAACACACGCGATATCGAGTCAATTAAACTACTGGTTACATTGGGGCTTGATTGATATAATTTGATTAGCACTAAAGGACTAAATAAGCATGACCTTGGTCTCTATTCATCAGTTGATCAGTTACAAATGAGCTCCTTTTAAATTATTCTACGTAAAAGAGCACAACGTTCCAATAAAATTACACCAATACAATCAAAGTTGGTCGGTGATTCATACAATATAATTAATGATTCTGAAAAAAGTGTGAAATAAAATGTTCAGACAGAAATTAAAATTAAATAATCATGCTCAAAATTTAACTCAGTAAGGAAAAATGAGCTGAGTAACAGTTGTTTCGAGGTTGCAAACACTACTCGCTTGCTATCTAACATCCAAAAAAGTACACAATGATTTCGAGCCATTTAGTTTATTGCTCATACAGAAAATTTGATTAATTGAATTCAATCAAAACTAGGGAGTAAGCAGTAAAACATCGGTTAGTATCCAATCGTAATGCCAAAATGACAGATCATTCATAACCTATAAAACTCACAAATGGCGTCCTTAATTGTTTCATTGGATGACGCAGGTCTAAATCTCTTTGGCAGTATTATTTCCTCTAGGATTGAGGGCATAGTCTATTGACGTTTCCTAATCAGTACAAAATGGATGTATCTGTTACCAAAGCGAAGTAAACATAGTATTTACTGCATATCTTCTACTTTAAAGTCTTGGTATGCTTCTATTTTATATCTTGTTTCTATCATATGCTTTTATTACTATCTCTAATGTATTAATTACGACTATTTAATTTAAGTATTTTAGATTCCTTATACTTTGCTCATTTTTTGCTTCTGCTTTTTAGGGAGACATAAGCAGACCTGGTGATATCTCACAATTTGAAGATTCTGATGCAGAATATGGCAGGAGAACTAAGCATTCAACTTTAGTGAGTGATCAATTCATGTACCTCGTGTAAATATATCATGTCGAATGTTTATATCATTTCTAAATAAATCTCCAATCATAGACTGATATCATTGGAAATCAAGATGTATTGAACAGTTTTCCTTTTATAGTTGGAGACGTTTTTTTTATTTACCGTGTCTGACATACCACGTAATTTAAAAATTATGATTCATACTATTGGTAATGGTTTGTTATTCTGCTGTTGTAAATATCGTACCTTTTCAGTATGCTATTGACTCTCTGGACTCTGTATTCCAATGGATAACGCACTAGTTTTTGTAATGAATGGTATTAGGTATGAGTCTTGGTTTCTATGCCTACATTCAGTTGCAGGTGCCCTCATCTGAATTCTAAATAGGAAAAAACGCACGTCCTGAATATAATTGCTTTAGCTATGTCGCGTTTGAAATTTGTGGTGTTGCGTTCATTTTTGGCTCTTAAAGACAAATTATAGCTATCCATCTGCAAAAAACTGGTATATTTTTTATCCATGTACCTTAAACTTTTTTATTGTTTATTGTGATTTTCCTCTCAAAATTTACAACTCATTACCAATTACCTATACAGGTACTCCGTAATGTGTTATATTTTTTCAAGGAAGCTGTAGTGATAATACCCACTTTCCTAAATCGAATGGGCAAAAGATTTGTTGATGACTGTAACAACGATAATTTAAAGTTACCTGTTTTAACCACTAAGCAAATACTTAACTTACATGGCTAATTTCTGACCATAACTTCTACCTTGGCATATTTGCGCACTAACGTCAAATTGCTTTTTATTTGTTTGTTTATTTTTAATCTTTACATTTTCAGCCAAATCAGTCATCTTATTTAAGTGGTGTCATACCGTATCTCGGTGTATTTCTTAGTGATTTAACTTTATTGCATCATTCGTCACCGGATTATATCAGTCGATCAAAATATTCCCCATCAAATGAGACTAAACAAGAAATTAATACAAATAATCAGGAAAGTGCTCTCGCTTCTACTACTACTACTACTGATGATAATAATAGCAATAATAATATTAATTCATCAGTAATCAATCCAGTAAATAATACTAATGATTTTTCAAAACAATCAGTTAAAAATCAGTATGGTAAAATAAAGCTGTTGCATATATCAGATCAACTTGAGAATTTCACCCGAAGTACACCTGATTTATCAGCAGTAATAGCATCGTCATCAACCGTACAATCAGATAATAACAGTACGAAACAATCCTGGAAATTATTGAAAAATGTATCATCAAATACAAATGTCCCACCTATTAAACCATCAGTTTCTGCTGATCGTAATGATAATATTCAATTAACTGGGCGTGTCAAGGTAAATGTAATTTCACAAATTGTTATGGAGATTAATTTGTTGTTCTTTTGCTTGGGCAAAAGAGTTTAAATTATAACTTAATGATGATGATTATTATCACTGTCATTACTCTTATCTAATTCGTCCAAAATATATTCCTCTGATTGATTTACGTGATTTAGTTTTGAAATGGCATGTAATCAATAAAATGAATGCAACGTGGATAACTTGTCATACTAACCATCTTTTAGGGAATCATAGATATCAATTTATCCCCTTACTATTGGTTGTTGTATTCTTAGACCGACATCAACCACTTCATCAAACCATCGTGTTATTCATTTTTCTTTAAATCTATACTATAGTATGGCTTATTTGTTGTTCTTTAATTTTGCACGTTAAGTGTACTGGTAATGAATATAAATGAGGGACGAATACTTATGCTGTTCAGTAGTATTCATCATTTACTAGTTCACGTTGGAATTTTTTAGTTTTATTTCTACGGCTTTGACCTGATTTAGCCTCTGTGACAGAGACAGGAACCGATGGTTGATCTTTATAAGTAAAGGACTTTCCTGGGTTACAATTTTTTTATCACAAATGTCTTATAAAAATTACGTGTGTGTATTAGGACTGTAATTAACGAATACTCAGATGGGGACATCCAAATGTATTTTTACTACAAAATCACAGAATGTCTTGGTAAAATATGAGAACCATACAATGAATACTTCATTTGCGAATTTCCATTATTTGTCCATCGAATTCTGTGTGGTTCTTCTTATTCTCAATTCCTTTCTACTCTCTTCAACTTGATCTTCTTAGCCTTCTGGTACCAGTGTTTCCAATGCCGATTGGTGTTACATACTACTTATGTCGACAGACATAAGTAACATACACCACAGGATCCACCAGTCAGTATTAAAGTTAGCCTTAGATTATTGGACACAAATATCAAAGTGCTTGGTAAGATCGTGAATCCTCACCAATTGAGGTGGTTATAACGTATAATATGTATGGTCATTCACACCCTACCTCGAAGTATGATGATGACTAACTGGTGTAGGAGTAGATTGGAAGAAAGCTAGTCGCGCCTGAATACAGACATGTAATAGATACAATAAGTCGTTTATTGTTGGTTTGAGGCATATGATCAGGTTTAGACCACCTCTTTATATTCGACACGATTACCACAACCAGGAACCTTTGGTTAAAATCGGTCCCCAAAACCTGAGTTTCGAAGGTATTTTTTACTTTGTATTCTACAGATTCACTCGTTTTTTCCGAAGCTAATTCTCTATACCCATTCTTTTTATAACCATTTATGCTACTACTGCCTAGCGTTTCTTAGCAGGGTTCTTTTCTATAGGATGCAGTTATCACTCTATGCCCAACTCTCATCTGTCATCCGGACAGTAACCGTAATAGGGTTTCAAGAGGAGATGATACTACTTCTACTACCCTGATATTCATATTGTTAATCTAGTCTCACTTTCGTAATACAATGTGACAACTTGGACCAAATAACATATGTGTCAGGCATTTTTGTTGATTATAACTGACTGGTCATTGATCAGAAATTTTAATCAGTTGTGTATAGTATTCATTTACGTCCAATCAATTGCTAATATCACTACGTAGTTCACACTTAGTGAGAACAATTTAGTCCCTTGAATTAATATTGTTTTAAAATCCAAACTAAACTAACAATCTAATATTTTTGTATTCCTGTAATAGAAGAAAATCGATATCACTAATGCTAACTTATATATGGACTGTTCACTAATTCATTAAAATTTATCTGTTAAGATCAAAAGTCCATCATGAAAATGTTTTTTTTCCTCAAATATCTAAATAATGACTATGACTACTTTTACGGGGTTGTCTTCGGTAAAACGGGATCAATCATTAATTTCGTATTATTGATCTACGTTTTAAATATCATTTTTACTGATATGTCACTATTCTTCTTTTTTGGGTAGTGTTTTTTATGTAGTATAACTTTTCAGTAGGTTAATAATCAACGGTAATTTCCAATCAGATTGTCTCATTGTGAGACATCACTCACGTGTGTCACATGAGTATAAACGATTTGATCTTATAGTAATGATGTCGATAATGATAATAATAACATAAAATACTTGATTAGTCATTAAAAGAATGCAATGGATACTTCAAAATCATCATTGTTACGTGCAATTTCGTAATTTGTTTGGAAATTTCTCAATACTGGTCAGATATTTTATTTGAAGTAAAGTATTTTTTGATGTATCAATCACCGTCTTGATCTTGAATTTCAACTAGTCGATTAAATTAAACAAGTCATTGTTTCATGGAACGGTGGCTCAAATGTTTTTGCGTTTGACTTTAAACCGCTAATTCACAAGTTGGAACCTCATTCCACTTACCTCCGTTTATGTAATTGAGTAGTCTCACTAATCATTTAGCATTGTAATCAAATGTATTCTAGAGAGATTTGCTTGTGCTATGTAATAAAAAAGGTGAACAAAACTAGTTGTACTAGTAGTCCTTATTTAAGTAATTGGCAGTGGTTAAGTTTCAACAGTGTCATCAATTAACAATAAAGATCCGTACAAATTCTAATTGCTAATGCCTCAGGTGAAAATGAGCCATGATTTGCTATTGTGTGTTTAAATTAAACTATTCTTTGACCTATAGTTCGGTTCTCAATTGTTGGTCTGAATTGTGTATCTGTGTATCGCGTGGTCTAACTATCAAGTATCATGATATATGTTGTTAGTGTGTTTATCATCTTACCTACCAGTCGATTATCTATTCTAGTATCGTATCGACAATATTTATTTTTCTCATTTCAACAACATATTTTACTGTTACTTGTACCATTCAATACTCTCTTGAGTAGTTATCATTCATCAAAGTATTACCTTCAGTTCATATCTTACTCTGTACTAGACTGTCTCATTGTCGCCCTCGTTCACGTCGTCAGCACATAATCTGTCCAAAAACCGTGAAACTATTAGTTTTGTATTACCGATATTTGAAAATCACAAGAACTTCACGCATTCTTATCAATGTATACCTATGGAAATAACTGTTGTTGATCATTCAACTTCAATTACACTGTAATAATACTTTATCTATCCCTTTCCTTATCTTCACTAAACAGCTTCAGTTTGTGTGTTTTTTATGATAAATCAATACTGTAATCTTTTTTTCTCAAACTGTAACAGAATAAATTACTCATGTGATTCAACCTACCTAACTACACTAATATTTTCTTTTAGATATTTATAATTGCATTACTATTTATTCTGCTTCATTCTGATAATTTTATTAAGAATTATTAAGTTTTCAAAGGATCATCTTACGTATATGTGTAGTGACATAAACAATCATATGACTGTTGATAAGACAAAATGAGTAGCTAGAGTTAAAAACAAATAATCCAAAGAGATTTATCAATATTTTTCCCAGTATAGTGGTGCTTTTCTCAATGAAATATCTCCTTACTCTCATTTGGATTGGTATCTGTCTTGATAAGATGATTATTCATGTGATAGTCATGATGTTCTCATATCCTTTGTTTTTATCTTTTGCTACGTAATAAAAGTACTAAGATTTCATACAGTACCTAACGTATATTCATCAATAAGCTTAAGGATCAAGGTAACATCGTAAAAACAATCAGCTTTACGTGCAACTAAAGTATTTTCATGATAGAAAACATACTATGTTAGACTATAAACATGTATTGTTTCCTTATGTTAACTTTTATGATTTACTTGTGGGTGTAACTACAGTTTATGGACAAATTTTGAATGACTCTTACAGGCAAATGCCTAATCGTGAAGATTTCCTCCGGATAAACATAGGAATGTTAGAAAGCTTTGTTTTTTGTTTTTATTTAGTCCTATCGTTTAGAATACTTTTAATCGTAAATTCTTGAAACATAGAAGCCAAATGACATGACATGAGATAGATGAGTGTTGCTAAATATAATGAATTGATCAAAGTTAAACATGAAAGCTGTTGGATGTCGACCTAATGATCTAAAGAATAAACTTTCGAATGCGAGACCGAGGGTCCTCAGTTTTGTTTCCGTATTGGCACTACTGAGGAGTCCCATACTACAACAAAACGACTGTCCAACGCTTCCAGGTCTTCAGTCCTGGTCTATCGAAGATCTGTTCGTAATTGAAACTATAGGCAATTTAACCTGGTTGGGATTCAAATTCTAAACATCAGTTATGTTTATTAACCTTCTATTTTTTGTGTGCCTAGTCAACTTAACATAATTGTTTATCCACTGATGATAATCTTGTGTGACGAAAATCATTTCATAAAAGCTGTCTACATTTAAAATATTTTTACCCTGAACAGCAAAATCTTGTAATAATATTGTTAACTATTCAGTTAATAATCCATGATATAAACTATGAAAATTCAAAAATCTCCATAAATACTTTTAGCAATAATAATGTGCTCACTAGTCACTAACTTTGAGTGACAGTTCCAGGAGTACTAGTGAGAAGCTGGGACTGTTGGAGTTTAACCAAGTCAAATATGAGACACTTATCCGCTACGGGCGACGAAGGACTGTCACGTAGCATCACCAGTTGGTTGAAATTATTGGTTTCCAACTCATTAGTTTCAAGGTCAAGGGCTCATCGTCATAACTAAAAGTTCTTACTAGATAGACACTAATCTCCGATCAGTTTAAAACATTCGGGAAATAAAGTCTTAGCATAATGATTTAAGGATATATTTTTTTAATTACTGTATCACACACTGAGCCCAGCTAAATGGTACCTAGACTCACTTGTTAGTTAATAGTAGTATCAGCATTCATGAATATAATTGTGACCTCAAGCATGAAGACGTACGTGATTAGAGTTACATGACTTGATAAAATAATTATGTTCATCGTGATAAAAATTAAATTCCCAGTTCCGTATTTTATAACATAGTTGGAGCTTGAAAAGCGCTAGCTGTTATATAACACTAAATGGATTAGTAAACCTCGTTTAAGAGTTAATTAAGGGTTGAAACGTCTGTTATTCGAATCATTGTTCAAAGAATGTTTGATTGTTAAATTACTCATTTTCTAAAGACTGGGTCTCATGTCTAAATTGTGCACCTACCTTGGTTTATTCAACCGAACAGGATTATTATTGACCGTTCCATAAAGTCGAGTACATAAGCCTGTCTTTAATCACAGAGTTGGATTTTATTGATGAAATCATAAGATGCTTTTAAAAAGCCTTGTTTAACATTCATTTATTTAAAGAGAATGTTCAACATGTTATTTAATTATTTGGAGGTAGTTAGCTTAAAACTCTGGATCCAGGTTTCGTGATAGTTGGCATTATACATCATGTAATATGTGATCAAAATTTATTAGCTTAATTGATGAATATATATGTCTGCATTTTATTTACAAATTTTAGTTTGTTATAATTTTTATAGAAGGAAAAGTTTGGCCTTTCTAGACGTCATTCTACAACTGATAGTGCTGATGACAAATTAATCAATCTGGATAAACATCGTCGAGAGTTTAGAATTCTAGCAAATATTTTTCTTCTTCAACAAAATGCCCAATTTTATTCACTTAGACCTGAACCAGATTTTATTACATGGTTTCATTCTTATCCATTAATCTCAGAAAATGAAGCGTAAGTTTATCCCATCAGTTATTTTTATTGTCATTTTTTTATCGATATTAGCGTTATTGTAGAACAGACTACAATAATTTTCACTTACAATCAGTATATCATGAGGATATATGGTTATCTTTTTGGATTTTTTGTTAATTTTAAAAGTTTCTCACTATGGACTTATTCCATTTAAAGTACTATTGAAAATCAGTGATAGTGTGGATGATTTTGAGCATTGACATTGAGTGAAAATGTGCTATATCTCAGAATGACTAAATTTGAAGAAATCTTGCTCATTGTGAAACTATGGTATCAGGTGTTGTTATGAATTCTCAAGACCAAAAAGTTTCATACTACAGTGAGATGACTCCCTAGTGTTACCAGGTTCTAAACAGTTGATGCTGAAACTTCCTTCAAGTCGTTTTATTTTGAAACTTATCTTCACTTAAAGTCCCCCTCGATAATCCAACATTCGTAATCAGTAGTTTTTAAAACTTTTTTTATATGTCAGAGCTGATCAATTTTAGTTAAGACGTTTGGAATAGTTTCAGTTACCTCGAGAGTGCAAAAATATCTTGTCAATGTGTGCCAACTAAACCCAGGCTTAATTTTATGATTTACTATCAGTTACTACCAACCATCTAACATTTAAAGCTTGAATCCATAACTAAGTCGATCATTTCCTATCTGGCACAAGTGAGGTCTCCGAAATGCAAATAGCCTGTTATTTCTTTCTTATACCTCTTTTTATTCATTCTGATTGTAGTGAAGATATTCTCCTAATTTGTTTATTCACTGATTATTTATTTTATAACTACAGTCTCAATCGTTCTTGTGATCTAGAACCAGTTGATGAACAAGTACAACAGCATATAAATAGACCTTTCAGGTAAGTAGAGATTTAATAATTAAATTGAGAATTTATCCTACTTTCTGTCTATAACTATTACAATGCAAATAATCACTCAAAGTTTATCAAATTATATCTTCACAAAATTTAATAATATTCAAGTACACTGTCATATATTTAGGATTTTCGATCAAATATTAGGTTGTGTTGTATGTAAAAATCAAGTATCCCGTTCGATTTTAAAGTATATAGTTCACACAAAAATGTTCAACTCAATGATCCAGTTATCTTGTTCAATTTTATGTACTAAGTATAGCTGAAGTCCTGATCATTAAATATACAAGTTTCGTAGTAAAGCGAAACCAGTTAGTTTTGCTTATGAAGCTGTAAATAACTAGTAAATAGTCACATTACCAACTATCGATTGGCACCAATCAAATATTTTATAAAACGATAAATAAATATTGCACTTAAAAATATTGAATACAGTAATATCATATAGTATAGATTTCTGTTATATATGCCAAAACTTTTGTAATTTTTTAAAGCATAGCAACTTGATCGCATCCTATTTAAAGCTCTACATAGTTTCGATCAGGCCAGACAATTATCAAATAGCGGATACTTTGTAAACCAGGAATTCTCTTAAACCAGCTCATATCGACTTGGTTTCAGCGAAATAAGTTTCTTAATAAATAATTCTATTCGACTGATGTTACGAGCATTCTTCGATAAGCTGTATTGTCCAGTCAAAATTATCCTTACTGAGTCAGTAAAACATACACTCTGGAGAAAATGTAGTGGTCTGTCTAACGCATTACTTCATTTCACATTGTTTAACTAAGTATTGACTTTTTTAAGGGAATTTCTGCATTCAGATAGGAAATATTCCACGCATTCTTGTATATTCAGTTAAGGTATTCGAAATTCCTCACATTTTCTCAGGATCAGGACTGTGTCAAGTTTTGTGAACGATGTCAAAGCATAAGATTGACAATGCTAAATATGCATAACATCTCGCTTGATTACTTAAGATAACGAAATGTTTGTAAGCCCTAACTTTATAAATTTTAGTGTGAATGGCCTTCATTAGAATGACTTTATTACAAGATTCTACGATCACTAACTAGTAGCTACATTTCCATTTTAATTGTTTTCTTGTACATTATGTACTGCGTCATCCTTTTTGTTCTAATCTACATTTACCAGGACTTTCGAAGAAACAATTGATAAATGCTATTTTAATTTTTTTTGACTTTCTAGTTCATTCAAACCAGCTTTTACCGTTTGTTTTATTTGTAAAGTGTTTTACATAAATTTCTGTTATTTAAAATATCAGTAAGAATCCGTCTGTTCAGTTTTCATCTGTTTACCATTTAGTGTAAACTTGCTTTACATGAGGTTTCTGACTCTTAAAATCAGTGTTTTTTTTCCTTACCGATATGCTTCAAACTAAGAGCTAAACAATTATATATAGTAAACCCTATTTTCACTTTTAAAAGATTTTCAATTGATTTAAGTGCGGGAAAACTGTCGTTAAAATCAATTTTACACTATAATAATTTGAAATGTGTCCAACCTTACTATATGCTATGTTTGTGAAAAAGTGTCAAAAGCGTTTAAGTATTCACCTTTGAGCTAATTAGTCTGCAGTTCAAACTCAGTCCGTTTATTTCTGTTTTAGCAGCTGATTAGTTTCTACTAGCTATCCATTAAACAGTGTGGCTAAAGTTTGAGTGCATAAACCTATACTTCATAATTTACACAAAATTATTTAGTGAATGTTAGATTAACTTCCTCTTATTTTTAATTTTCATTCAGCGCATCTCCATATACATTTGATACAAGTGATTCAAGTGGTGCATTCGATATAATAAATAGTAATAAATCACGACACCCACGTAATAATACAAATATCCATGTAGAAAGATCTAAATATGCTATAACCCGTCCACCTAGTGCTACAGCTATTGGTGCCACTACTACTACATCACTCATGAGGAATCCTAACACTAACATTAGTATTATTAATAGTATTAGTTCAAGTCGAAATAATAAATCACGAATTAATGGAACATATTCATCAAGTGATTTACTTAATGATATCAAATACAACAGGTCAACAACTACTGACGAACTAATCACAGGAAATAGTTTGGACATTTTATATCAGCAAAATAACCACAAACATAATATGAAAGTAAGTAACTATTTTATTGCACAATAGTAGAAATAGGGTAAAAGTGAAATTATCATGATAATTCTTTGACGAAATATTTTGTATACTTTTCAAATATATTATTTATTAAATAATTGTTTAGGTCCATAAATCGTGGTATCGTATGGTCAGTGATTTTATTTACAGGATCACGTGAATTATGAGAAGAATTAATCAACTATACTTGTAACCACTTATGTGGTTTTCTACTATTCTAATAAGAGATTCAATCAAGTAGGAATATGTGTGGTCTGTAGATTGTGTGATGAAAGTACTAAGACTCAATTGTTCAATATAATTTCAATAACATAAAAAATAAAAGCGTATTACTTTTATTTTCTTAAAAAATTCTAGAAAAGTCAAAAAGCCTTTGTTTCCACTTATTCGAAATTATGATGTGATTTTGACTAGGAAAATTTCTTGGATAGATTTCAGTAATGTGAATATAGGTTTTCTGTATTAAATATTGATTATTCAGTTCTTACAGATAAATTATTGATTAAAAGGATTCCATTTAGTACAACCGAGTACATTGCACTAAATAACACAAATCAAAACAAATACTGTTGCTATCCGCAATTTACTACGTCTAAACGAGCTGCAAGAATATCAGATAACAACACCTGTCCTGAAAGTTCGGAAAATTGTTACTTAGTAAAAATACAACTTTTTAAACACGTTTTTAACTATAGGAACATTTAATTTGGTAATGAGTCTGCTAGTATTACTGCCAAGAGTTGACTTGATACTTTCCAATCAGCTAGATTTTGAATAGAACGTTGATGATAAAATAATTATGATATTTTTTGATATCCCAATGAGTAAAAAGCAGACTCTCAGATGTGTTTTGATTTAATTTAAGTTGCCTTTACAGAGTAAATAAATGAATAACCAAAATCAAATTGACAAAGATATTCTGTCTTGTTTCTCTAAGCTACCTAAATTTCTGTTCATTTTATTTTGATCATTTATTTACTGACTTTGAAGAAACAGTTCAAATTAAGCTGCAAAACGTAAACAACTCTAATATCCACTCGTTGAGATATCAAAAATGTATCATAATGTTTTCATATGAACACCCATCACAATTTGAACGAATATTCTGACATAAATTAGACGCTAAAGCGTAAAATTCATATCTGAAAAATCCCTAAAGAATCTCAAATCAGTTTGCCCAATGAAATGTTAGAATTATTCGAATATCAATCTCCGAGACTGGTCAAACATTATTTTTCATATGTAATACATTTTCAACTAATTCGAAGGGGAAGTGTTTGTTCACTCATTACCTCAACACAACCATAAATTATACATGAAGACCACTGAGACCACAGTGTCATAGATCAAAATATATACTGGATAGGGTTGTATGTTGTCAAACATAAGTGAACTATTTCCTGTCGACCTTCTACTGCGGACAGTGAATATATCTCAATAACATTATTATTAAAATTAGTTTGGCAAAGAAAAGTTGTTTACTAGTGAGAAAAATCAACTGTAAATTTTATATTTAGAGTTCATGAAATAAAAAAGAACGCCTTAGTTACGTTTATTTGGATACAAAAATGTCAGGTATGGTTCTCGTCACAGAAAGAATAATTTACGCAATATGTAATATTTATAAGTGTTTTAGTTATCGATGAAGTAGATTTTTAAAATAAATAAGAATTCGCCATAACGATTCTTTCTTTCTTTCTGAGTTGTATCTTATACCAGTGCTTTTTTCTCTACCATTCTCCATAATGATTCAACAGCTAACTAGGTTTCAAAGAGGAAATAAACCACTAGAAGGAACAAATGTTTTACATTCGGGAATAAGCAGCATAGTTACGACATAATTTTGTAGAAACCCCGTCGACATACGAAGTTACCGGAAATAATCTACTTTTACAATTTCTAAAAGACTTTGTGCAATACGCTCCTGTTGATCACAGGTTACACTTAAAGTCACTTCGAAATTAGAAGCATTTTAGTAGTGTAGTACAATCACAGCATAGTTTTTAACGATTCACATATTATGCATTAAAATTAAAATTTTCATAATAGCAGATAATTCATGCAACGATTGAGTGTTCTATCATGATTAAGCAGAGATATTCTGTGGTTTACTTTACGGATTGATTGTAGTTAGGCAGTCGCTGGAAACAATAAAGCACTGAACGGCTATCCCGTCAGTAACTGATGATCGAACTGAGGACCTCCAGTTTTTGCGACTAGACCTCAACATTTAGATCACTAAATCAACAATATCGTGAATTGACCGAAGTCAAAAATGTAAAGCATTGGTTTGAGGATTAAGCACCCGCTGCGTAATTCAACGTACTTCGGTCCAAACCACAGTAGAATCGTAGATACAGACATTTGAGGAGCACTATACTAGGACGAAGCAACTACCCAATACTTCTTTCTCTACACTGGTTCTATTAATAAGACCGGTCTGTGATGTAAAGCCTACAGTTTTCACAGTCCCTTCATACTACTAACAATAGAAAAATTATCTTATTGACAGTGAGTTCATATACATAGTCAGCTTCCTGAAGATGATCTCTTTTGATTCGGATCAACTGACCTTGATATTGTCCGTTAATAGTTAGTCGAATATTAAAAGATGATAGGAACCCATATAGCTGACTGACGTTAGGTGTCATCTAACACTAAATCATAATACTTTATAAACTCTTCTTTTCAACCTTTATAGACATCAACTTCTAGATGGAACACACACAAAAGTTCATCGGCTACATTCGATGCACGTAATAATAGCAATAGTAACAACAGTAATTTATCCATTACTATTTCTTTGCATCATACAAATAGTCAGCATGATGGTCGTGTATCACCATTTATTGCTAAAGTTGCTCAATTAGGTAGCCTGTCTCATGGATCGCATGGCCATAACGATAATCGTTTTTCTAGTTCGAAACAAACGCAACCCACAATTCAATTGGTAAGTATTCAAAAACAGCAAAACTTATCTATTTATTCATTTGTATTAGGTATTTTAAATGAAATGTAGAGACAGATTCAGAATGATCCGGGTATGTTTAAGATGTTGTCTAACTGATAGAATACATGGTATTTAGAGGGGAAGATTCTAACGTATCAAAAATACTGTTTTCCGGTCACTGGTGTCTCAAAACTCTCGATGAATATGTCTTCATTGGGTTCATTTCAGACAGGCTTGCAGGATAATGTTTACATCTAACTTGTGATGTGTTAGGATGAAATAGTTGTCTTGTACGCCTTGGATTTCGATTAATGTGGCCTGTTACGCCTCGTAGAACATTGATATCTAAAAATATTTGATGAATATATCTTCGTTAGGTTCAGTATGGGTTGGTTTGCAGGACAGTTTTAAACCAATCCGTTAAATTTTATTTTATTTCAATAGTATTATATTTATCTTTGTTACTTTGATAATAGGTCTTATTCAATAATTGTTTATTTATGATTCATTTATTTATTTGAACACAAATATTGGTCGAGCTTTGTTCTTTGTACCTACTCTTACTAACATATTTCTGCAATAATGTCGTTCGTTCTGTAAGGTCATCAAATCAGCCATAGTATTTGGACACGACGAAAGGGTGATTCACGTTAGATACTGGCCGCCAGGTGTAACTTTTACTGGAGTGGGCTCCTAATCATCCGACATAGGTCATCTAAGTTGGTGATCCACACTGTTTAGCGCTTTTTGAAAAATGCATTTAGGCTTCGGATTGAATATTACAGGTAATGGGGGAAGATATGACCTACACACAATCACCACACCTGCATAGCCAATCAATGTCATGATGAACAATTATTTTAGGGTTCACCATTTTTTACTTTCTTTTACTGTTACACGTTGAATATAAATCTTCTCGGTAATATGTGTTCATAAGCAAAGATAGATGGTGGCTAGCAGTGGAATTCAGGACGCGCGTTTCGCCCTATTTGAGACTCGTCAGCTGGACGTACCTGCATCTCAGAGTTGATGTTCACTATGGGATTAGAACGCAGTACCGTTCGCTTCAAACGCTTCTTGTTATCCACTTGGCTACTGAGTCCCAAATAGGACGAAACGCGCATCCTGAATTCCACTGCTAGCCACTATCCATCTTTGTTTGTAATGCGTTAATTGAGGTAATATCGAAGAAATACACACAGTATGCACATATGCCAATAAGAGATTGATCAATTGCAGTCCTAAGCATCAATAGGAAGATTCAAGTAAAAAAATACCAAGTGAAATTAAATCATATGTTCAGCTTCAAAGATCGAGCCTTTCCATTTCGTATTTTCACATCTTCATCATATCCTTCCAGTCTTTCGACTATGCTGCCGAGATGTGTGGTTTTCGCGGTGTTTGTGATCCGGTGAGACCCATTTAGCTTTGTGTATGCGTTGTGTTGAAGTATAGTGCCAGGTAAATTTTCAAGTTTTTCACCATTCTCCTTTGTTTCTCCAAGTCCATTCCATCCCAAAATATGTTCATATCCAGTGTTGTCTATCCCGACTTCGTTTAATGTCTATCTGAAATTAACCAATGATGTAGATCATCTTCCTCGCCCTGTGTATAATCTCTTCTTTAGCTACGGTCAAGCATGCTATGGTAGAACCGCCTACGAGCACTACATTTTTAAATGGTTCTCCAGCTGCTATCAACTCGTGACTTTAAACAATGTCCCTCATCCAAACATTTTGTTAGAAGTTAGCAGGTGAATATTTGTCGTGAGTAACACATTGCTGAAATGTGTTTTTTTTCATGTTGAAATCGCAATTGACATTTCTAGTGAACAAAATCCTACACAGTGAACAGACCGCAACATCCTCATCTGATTTTCATTCTGTAGGGATTCATACATTATCAACCTACGGCGGAACGCCGTCTCCATTATTCATAAACAGTTTCTCAGAATAATGTCAAATCCTCTATGGGTATCCACGTATTTTTCTAATCCAAAATTCCCGTCATAATCCATATCGTTTACATATATATTCTAAAATATTTTCTTAATAGTCGGTTTCTCCTGTGGATAGTGTTTCTGATGTACTGTTGAAAGCCCTTAAATTATTTGGTTGTGCCGATCAAAAGGTTGATAATTATGATCTAATTCATGTCCGTAAAGATACTCGAGGTAAGTGGTTTTTATAATATTTCAAGAATTTTATTTGTTTTCGTTCTTTTTTAATAATATCGTCACTGAATGGTAGTTTCGTTATAGTACACACGCAACCCCCAAAATTTTGTCCTCAAATGCCCTGTACGGTCGAGAGTGGGGAGAGTCCGCTCTCCCTCTCGAAATGCTCTCACATGGCCACGCGTATATAGCCTATTCCAGGGAAGTCCCACTCATTGCCTTATCGTGGCGGGGGTGTTGTTTACGAAATTGAAAGGACGAAAAGCGAATATCCGGCGCTTTAACCGTGTTGGTGGACATGGAGAGTCCACCTAGGGGAGTTGGGAAACCCTGATTCCAGACCACTGGTGCACATGGGCTCCAGTATCCTGAAGGAACAAATAAAGCATGAACCGATCGTTGGTCACCGGCTACCATGGGACTGAATCTCCTTACGATGCTCCACTACCTTATGGATCAGATCTTCAGGTCGAAGGCTCCGTGTGTGGGCTCCTAAGAAAACCACCTGCTTCGGTTTGGGCACCCGGGCAGTATCACAGCCCTCACACATATCAAGTGAGACTTGTGTGGCGCATATGTATTTGGTGCCTTCTTGTACCAATATCTATGCGCTAAAATAAATAAAATAAAACACACACAATCCTACTATAAACGACTGGACTTGAGTTTTTCAGATCTTGAGGCGAGCGCTTAATTTGCAGACCACTGAGCAATCATCCTATAATATACATTTCTAACTTAAATCATATTGCGACATTGAGCAACTATCTTCCATTATCTTCGGAGTGTGACGGCCTCATACTCGAAATTGTTGGATTCCCCTGATCACGGCTTCTCACTAGAACTCTGGGAATCAGTAACATTCAATATCTTCTGGAGCCTCTATACTGATAATTATCATGTGCTTACTTGTGACCGATTTTAAGAGTCATATCCAGATTTGGTGACCAATGAATTTTAACTATATCACGTGGGGCAATTTCCCTCCTAAGATTATAAAAGATGGTCGCGCAGTATCACGAACTGGTTGAAGTTGGACATGTACACCACCAAATCCCGGTGAAGTAGGTTAGAGATTAAGCGCTCGCCACAAGACCTGAAGACCGTGGCTTTGATCTGTGACGAGGTCGTGTATACACACCACTGAGGAGTCTCTTGGTTACTTACTTCCCAGTGCCTCATATTTTTAATGGATGGTCGATTTGTGATATCAGTAACATTCAAAAGTCTCCACAAAACCCTTATACTGATCGTCTGTTAATTTTTGACCTATTTTTACTAAGACAGTCAAAAAATTAGTGGTAGGTATAAATTGTGTAGAAAATTGTTTACTCTTTGCATTTTAACCTACCTACGTTCTCTGTGCAGTATCATTATTTTCTACTTTGTGTTATGACCTTGAATCGCTTTTTACCCCGTGATACTTGTTATGACCTTGACGCGTTAGGCTGAGCGGCTTAACCTTGAGTCTAATACGCGTGAGTTCGAGATGGGGTAGAGAGACAACTATTCTATTACCTGATTGGTTGGCAAGCGCGCAAGTGAAAGAAGACAAGACAGTTGGAACACTGAACTGTGAATTCTCTGAATTCGGAGTTAGTACAAAAATGTACATGAATAAATAAGTGAATATCTTGACCACGATGTACGATAATTTGGAAAAATACAGTTATGCCCGAAACAGGGAATTAGGGTAGAAAATAAAGTGCAAAATATTATGTTTAAATTACAATATTTTCGGAACAAAAAAGGTATGCTAGTGAATGATACATAGAACGAAAGCTCGTGTTATGTAGAATAAGATAGGGACAAAAATAAACATAAGTGTTTTACAGGGTTTGAATGAAATGCAATAACGTCCCAAGAAAATAGCTTTCGTAATTGTCTGTGCTTCTTAATTCCCCGTTCACAACACTTTGTTAGTTTGATGTGTATTTATAAATAATCATCAAGTATCTGCATTCTTATTAAACTGCTCTGGTTGTATAATGCTTAAAACTGGCGGATAAAACGTCTGTGATCTAAATTTTACGCTTAGCAGCTCTTTCGAATCTGAAAATATTCAATGTAACAAAGGGTATACGCATCCCTGGTCCTGAAGATGTCTTTTTGATAAGTTTTAAAAAGTATAGAGTCTACTCTCATAAATAACCTGTCGGATTACAACTAACAATCGTTACACTCTAATAGCAATATAACACTATATTGTATCTCTTAAAATTAGTGACTGGATTTTCATCTTCATTACTGAACAGTTATTGTCTAATGAATAGTCGATAAATGTAAAACTATAACATTTTGTTTCTTTAATTTACTCATTTCTCCCGTTTTCATTTCCCATAGATGTAACTCTACCAAAAAATCTCAACTTTTATGAATCGATAAATTATTCTTCCTTTCATTTATCAAATAATAAACATTATGAATTATTAGAATTTATTTGTACACCAACTATTCATAATGAGAATAATAATGACAACAATAGTAGTAACTATAGTAATAGTTTAAACAGTTCACCATCATCATCGTCAGCAGCATATATAAAAACTAACAATAACACAAATTATCATGGTAAAAATCACAATCCACAGCCTAACAGGACTACAATTGAATATGTTAAACACTACAAATTAACAAGTAAAAGCTCTAATAAACATTGTACTGTTGAATTATGGTCATGAACATTTATTAACAATTGTTTATTTCTAAAAAAAAGTTGATTGTTTTTCATCAGTTTATTGTTATTTTTCATTATCAAATGTGCTCAAATGCATATTGCCATTGTGAATAATTTTGTCATATGTTTTTGTCACTGCGCCATTTATTTTTGCCATTAATTGATCCTATCAATCAATAACTAAATAAATTCTCTCTCCCCGAAGAAAAATTTGTTCAATATTTCGCCATTTGTCTTTCATGATCGCGCATTTTTTAAATAATTGTTCTGTTTTTTCTATTCTCATCACTTTTCCTAACCCCGTTCCTCTTTACACTCACTTTGAATTTTCTGCCAAATGTGTAGTTCATTGTTCTGGTTAAATCCCTTATGGAGTTGTAAGCTACGTCGAAACACATATCTAGCAGTGCATCTTTTATGTTAATGTGATTATTAAATGTCGTGATCCCACATTTCCTTTGTTTATTCATTATAACCTATATGCTTACCATTAAGGAGATAATAACATATCTTACTTATTTGTTCACTGTTCAATAGTAAAGAATCGCTGTTTCTTTTACTTTCATTTATTTTTATTGATATTGGATTAAAAACATAATCAATTGTATATTTATAAACTATTCTGTATTTTGAATATCATATTGTCAAAATACATAAATATATTTCCTGTACAACTTTTATGAGAATAATTTCTTAATTTAGAAATTTCGATGAACTTTTTTCTTATTAATTGATATTTCAAGTTAGATAGGAGATAGTCTAGAGTTTAATCAAAACAAGCCATATTCTTACTGATATACTAAGTCTTTGGTACAATTATTTTAAATACGATCTCATTCAAATCTGAAGCTTAGCACACTATAGATAACCTTATTATTACATTGACGGGGATGATTATTAAGTTAATTATGAAAACATTGAAGGTGTAAAAAGAACCGCAAATTTATCAAATACCAAAAGTGTTAATTACACTAATGTTGGCAGCTTATTTCACAACATTATCCCTGAACAGTGATAAAGTTTTCAACTGATTTATGATTCTATCAGTTGACTACTGTGGGGTAGCGTACTAGGTACATGGTCCTTTCCTGAAATTATTAGCTGTCATAAACATACCAGGTCCGTAGCAAATTGATGAAAATGAGACTCAGCACTATGTATACAAATAGATCCCTTTAAGAAATATGTTTTACATCTCAAATAGTTAGTCACGGTGAATAAATGTTTGTTATTAGCCAAATAGCCGGACTGAAATATTGACCATTATTTTACAGCCATTAGTAAAGAAATATGTACGATTTTTATATTTATATGAATCAAGTCAACTTTCCAGTTATGATTTTTGTGATCGTGTTAACATTTTTTCGACACCCGAGGACTCTGAAATAGCAATAAATGCATATGTATTTGACTTACACTATTTACCTTATAATGTATCACACATAGAGCATAAAACTGTACACTACTGGCGCATCACATCCCGATAATAGATCTCTGTATTACAAACGTTTGAGTGAAACTCCATTTCTAAAAATGCAGTAAACATCATAAACTTCAGGAGTATTGGTTATTACTAATTTAATTACTTACATTCATTCTAACCTGGAATCCGTGTCTTAAACGGCTACTGACCTAGACATGAACCTCCAACAATAATCACCAAATACACTGAAATTACTGACTCCCCCCCCCCCGGGAATCCAATGCAAAGGAGGGTGCACAATTTTAAAAAGAACGAAGAAAATGACCGTTAAAGAAAATTTAGTAAAAATAATCGGACAGTAACGTAAAGCAGTAAGCGTCTACGTACTACTGAGAATAAAGTACTAACTCATGAAAAAAAGCTATGTAGTCTACCTTTTAAATGAGAGGTATCATTAGACAGAAGTATACTGATTTTTACAATTAGAGGTAACCGATAGGAACTCAGTAGCACGGAGTTTATGCAACTTCGAGAAACTGAGACTCAGAGGGGATCAAGTCTTCATTACCTAGAGTTACAATCACACAGTTGTTTGTAATTTGTTGATAAAATGCCTATTGTCTTATTTTATTCATGGATTACTAGTGCTACTGCTAATTTTGTAAACTTGTGTGTTTCGCCAATAAGATAACCAATTCCTCAGCAGTTAATTATTTGACTGCTGTGCTGGTCAACTTGAATCCACGAATTTTTTCCAGGTTCCATGTACACTGCTTCTTTACGAGTATGTATTATCCTCAGCTATAGCTAACATAAAGAGTGACAATTTAAAGTCTGGCGGTCATTTCAAATTATTTTGATCAATACTGATGAATATATAATTGATAGACAGTTGATGATTAATCTGATGCATAGTTTGCTAAAAATATACTATTTTTAGATATACTTATTTAGTGCTTCATTAAACTGCTGTTATTAAATAGAGGGTTGTTTTGTTTTGCATTTTTCAATTAATAATTGTATAAAGCTCAGTATGAAGTAGAAAAATCGTTAACATGTGATATAAAGAATGGTTGGTGATATAAACTATGGGTTTATATATGTCCAGTATCAAATGATTACTACAGAATTACCAAGTCAAAGATAAGTATTGAGAAATGAACATTATACTGGTGAGTAACTATCGATCCCGTTTGTATTGACATTCTAATCTTAATTTTAATGGCACCCAAGTAATCTACAAAATCATTATCTTCTAATCGATCATCTTCAAAATGATTTCTAATCATACTTGTTTTTATCTTCAGCAGTTTGTATAAAAGCATGTTGTTTTATTACATATAAAAACCTATTTTCCCGACTGATGATTTTGTCTTTGATATTAGTTCATTCAAGGGGTTGAGCTAATAATTCAGTCTCGTGTACAGGCATCACTCAGTCACACAACCAACCCGCATTTGAACTTTTGCGCCACATAAATACGAAGTTAATTGTCCGATACACAGAAAATGTTCTAATTTTTTTTAAATAAATCGTTTTTATACAGAGATTCCATAAAAGAATCATAGAAAATGATTAACAATTGAATCTCCAAGTAATTAGTTTACAGTATTACTAGGCTTGAAAAATGATGACAATGAAGCTTGTTTACTAACTGCCGGTTTATTATTCGTGTTCTTTTTGTTTGATTGTTTGGGTGGCTTCTGTAAAAGTAAAGTGAATTAAAACATTAAAAATTGGAATATCATACCTATGGAAGCAACACTAATAAACAATGTGAAGAACTGTGAAACAATTGTTGTGGATAATCTTAGCTACTTATAAGTAGTATGAATTATTTGAACAGAATTCACGACATTTTACTTCAAATGGAACCAAAGTTCATGAAAAATTAACCAGAATTTTGGTATTCGTTAAAAACATTTACACATTCATGTGTCGATTCACAGCCTCAGATGGGAATAATAGAGTTTAACAACTGTTGTTGCGGATTTCCTGTAGAAATAATATACCAAAATACTGAAAGCTTCATTCACACTAACTGTTCAAGTTGAACAAAATATTTCCCAATATGATATTTAAAAAATAACAAAGGCTTGTTTCCTAGACATTATCAATGTAAAAACAGCAATATACTGCCATTAAATAATGTGCCGTACACTAGTAAACTGTTATCATAATGACCATAAATCTAATCTTACAGCCACCACAACAAAACGCTTGGCTGTGCGCTATTCCCTTTTTATTCTTAAAAATTTTGAAAATGAGACTTTAAATACTTCATGACTAGTTTATATTTTCTAATTAATACGGAAAGGCCCTTATTAGAAGACCTACACATCAAATTAAAATTCCCAGACCAGAATTAAATAAGTTCGTAGTTTGATGAACAGTACATGCAAGTGTAAGTACTCAGAATATTCTTGTTTGAGTATTTTCAACCATCGGTATCATAGATAACCATGTTACTTACCTTCGATTAATAAATGCATAAAAGTGCATGTAATTAGCAACTTTATTTAGTACAAGGGGGCACTAAAATTTGGTATTCGATTTATGTGAGCGTTTGGGATACTGCCGGAGAGCCAAAAGCGTAATTAGCTACAAACGACATCACACTTTTCAATGACGAGAAACCAAAAATGTACTCAAGTGAAGGTTAACTGTTTTTCCTGGAGATTCGCAGTTTCAAGACATCCACCATGGCTAAGGAATTTTATTCTGAGTGTTTGAAAACTAAGTTATTAGCATTACCTAAAAGTGCAAACCTAGCTTTGGTTATCTAGGAGTTTCACTACGGCTTTAAGGAGATTAACAAAGCAAACACCTGTTTTCTTCCACTACTGTCTACTTTTAATAGATACGTTTTTAACCCACTTGTTCAGATATTAATTTCTTAATAGAAGCCATATATCATAATAATCGGAAAGTTTGATGCTTTTTCCAATGACATAGTAACGAAGTAAATTTTCTAATGCTGTAGTAAGGTCAAAAAATCTTATGTAATATTACTGAATAATTTTCTTTTGAAAGTGATAGGTTAATAAAAAAAGAGTGACCATAATTCCTACTTACAGTCTGTTGAATCGTTGGTGGTGCAGTTAGAGAGACAGGATTATCAATTTTCGGTTGAACATCCCGTTCATTTTTCTCATTTTGATCCATACAAGGAGAGGGTGCTGTTGTCGGTTTAGAGGTTTCATCATCTGATGAACATTCCCAGCCTTTTTCCGTAACTAAAATATATATATCACACTTGTAAAGCATCATTGTAACAACTCTATTTTTAATACTAATGCAGTATGATGATATAACAATAAAAACTAAATAATCATACACTTTAGTGATAAAATCAACCACATAGTTGTCCACTATTAACAATAGTTTCGGAAAAGTTTACTTTACCCATAAAGCCATCTTCATCTGCAAACGTTTTCATTACTTGGTGACGAATACGATTTAAACCAGCAGCACAGCTAGATTTCTCAGTTCTCGAATTTTCTTCACACTTAATCGGTGTTGACAAAGTTTTAACACCGATTTTTTTAACATTGTCGGGTGATTTTTCAGATTGTGTAGGCTCCATGAGAAATGAATCAGCTTCTGAATCAGAAGCTAATACTTTCAGTTTATCTGAAAATGCGAATGAAAACAAATACCTTTGAACTAAAAACATATAATGTAAGATTATAAACGTCTATATACTCTACTATGCATCAAAGCCATGATACTGAAGAACTATTGTTTATATTGAAATATTTGGCGACTGTGTAACCGACCATTATCCCAGCAAAAGGATTGCGCTCATATATTCAGTTACTCCAGGCTTCGGCCAGGGTGTGCTCGGATGCAGTGGTGACAAGTTAACTTCATCATTCTGGAACCCTGACTTCGGCAGCTTGGACATACTTCATGCGAACCCAACGGCTTTCACATGGAGCATTAATTCCTGACGCTGCGACTCGGTGGAAAAAAGAAAGGGTTAGTTTATGACATGGCACTGTGGTATGAAATATAACTATATAAGACTGTCATATGTTGGTATATCACAACATCTCACTTGTGGTCCTAGATACGATGCAACTTAGCAGCTTGACACTTTGTCAGATATGAATCAGGACATAAGCCAGTGACAATTCTGTTTTAGTTTCCTGTCACAAAAAGTGAAATGAACATCTTTAACTGAGAAAAATCCGTTTTGACTATATTTTTAACTGAACTATATCCTTTATACAATAATGTTTCTCCTTATTTATTCAGAGATTGTATTATATATTCCTATTAACTTATTTAAACAGTGCGATTCGGGCACCCTAGTTACATGTTATTAACAAATAATAACAGTCATCTACAATGTAGGATCAGGCACATATATGCATCGATCCAAGTCACCATACCTCATTTGCACAACAAGATGAACACCAAATTCATAGAAGCAGTTACTTCAATGGTAGTAAAAAAATGTCATATAAGGAAGAAGGAAATGGTTCGTAGAAAGAGAAATATGTGGCGATTTCGGTCTCACGGTTTAAGAGGAAACAAAGAGTATATACACCTAAGCCATTGTGATCGATTCTGAGCCATATCACCCAGAGTATTCAACCATTGGCTGCAATAGTCACACCGATCCCAACCAAGTAGTCCGCATCTATCAACATGGCCTAGACCAGAAGTTAGTGACTTCAAACACTGATGCCACGTTCTGGTTTGGCCACCCCTAACTTCCTTCCATTCGTCTCCAACACAAGTCACCATTGCTCGATGTGGTAATCGGTGTTCAGGCATAAGTAACACGTAGCCCAACCATCTCATTCGATGAAGATTCACAACCTCATCAACTGATCTACCATCATTCCCTAATACCCTGCGTCTAACATCACTATTACTTACCCGGTGATCCCAGTAGATGCAAGCAATATTTCTAAGACATCGGTCATTAAATACTAGTAACTTACGAGTATCCTCTACTCTTAATGGCCACGTTTAGCAGATGTAAAGTAGAACAGAACGAACTGCTGAAAAGTATACTCGTCCCCTAATTGATAGATAGATATCTCGCCTTCGCCATAGGTGACGTAAGTTGGCAAAAGCCAAACGAGCTTTCTGAATCCATGTGGAGACTTCATCAGACACCAACCCATAAGGGCTGACAAGACTTCTAAGATAAATGAAGTTGACGACGCGTCCGACTACTTCACTCTCTATCCTTAGTTCAGGTATTGATGTAGGCCAGTCCTGAAACAACAATTTGCATTTACAGGGGGAGAAACGTATTCAAAGCATCCTGGTATTGTTGCTCAGTGCTCAGGCTGCATTTTGTCTGCCTCTTCATTAAACAGGACTGTGTCATTTGCGTATTCTAAGTCGATAAGTGGACCTCCTGGAAGGAGATCAATTCCTGAAAATTTAATCGACCAGGAAGTTATCTCCAGCAATAGGTCTATGATGAAATTGGACGAAAATGCAGATAACGGACAGTCTTGCCGGACACCACTTGAGGTGGCAAAATCAGATGAGAGTTCACCATAAGCTCTGACTCGACTGGTAGTGTTCGAGTAAAGAGCCTTCACAAGGTTTATGTACTTCTGAGGTATGCTTTCCAATGACAGACACTGCCACATGACCTCTCGGCCAACAGAGTTCAATGCTGCTTTTAAGTCAAGAAAAACTATCATTGTCGGACGCCAATATGTTTGTGTTTAAAATATGATGAATAGTGAATATGTGGTCGATGCAGCCACGAACAGGTCTGAAGCTAACCTGATTTTATCGTGTTTGCAGTTCACGAGTCTTTGTTAGGCGTCCGATAATTATTGAGGCTGGCATTTTAGATGCTGTATTTGTCAAACTAATCCCTCTGTGGTTGTTACAGGATGATTCTGATCTTTTCTTATATATTGTGACAATCAGTTGAGATTACATTCAGTTCCTAGATTTTAGCTAAAATATTAGCTAACCTAATCACTGAAACTGAACCACCATACTTAAAGACCTCCGGAGACAATCCATCTGGACCAGCTGCTCTTCATCGTTTCAGATTAGCTATAGCTTTTCGAATTGCAATTAGAGACGGGGAGGCCTACTCCAATGTTCCATTCAGGCTGTTTGGGAGTGGTGGGTAGTTGTAGAGCAGCTGAAGGTCAGCTGAACAGCTCACTAAAGTGTTCTGCCAATCTTTCTAAACGCTTGGACTGAGAGTAGATAAGTGTCATCTTTTCCCGAGATAGTCTCACTTACACTTGACTTTTTTATTACAGTTTCCTTTATTAGTCTGAAAAGCTGTCTGGTGTTACCTACAGCCGCTGCTTTTTCCATCTCTTTTGCTTTCGTTGTCTACTACTCCTCATGGTCGTTCCTTAGACATTTGGTTAACCTAGATCGGATTTGTTTTCGCTTTTCATCGCGTTCAGAGCCTGATGGGATGAGTTTACGAGAATCCATCAGTGCAATAGACCTTGAAGAAATCCATTGGTTCTTTGTAACCCTGTGGTTTAAACCACTAATAGATGTCACTCCGATTTCCACAGCTGTCTGTATATCTTTTCAAGCAACATCTGGGTCAGGTTCGTTAAAAACGAAGCTGCCTTAGTGTGACCGCAGTTGTTCCTGGAATCTAATTTCAGCTTTCTCGTCATTCAGTTCAATTCTAGTGGGTCCATTTAAATCACAAAAATTCATTAATTACTGATTTTACTACTTTTTAAACCATGCTCACAAGGGTTATAGCCCCCTAAACGACTCAAATAAAAATCTAATGTCTTTAAGTAATAACATGTCTGAACCACTCCATCTTAAAACTTCTAACTCAATACTAATCCATAATATATTGAGCGCTAATTCCACCTTCGAAAAGTACATTCTGTGAGACAGATTAGTTATACTACTTCTGCTTCATACGCGTAAACGATGCTCAAAAGTGACAACAATATACGTAAATTGTATCTCTCCCCCATAAATGTTTAAAAACCGTCTGCCAGGAGTACACGTCGAATACTCAACAGAAAAGTTTAAATAACTCCAATTACCATAAAAAAATCTGATTACCTTTTCTGCGAGTAGGTCGCTTTTTCTGTATATCATTGTTTCTAAGTTTCGTACTTGCTTTAGAATTAAATAAATTAGTAGACACGCAATCCTTAGTCATTGTACTACTCTCTTCTTTTTCTTCATCGGATTCAATGACAATACATTTCCGCTTTTGCGAAGAATCTAAAAATACGCATAAAAAGTATGGTTGGGTGAGGTGTTACATGTGGTTTTCAAACCAAATTCTTCGTCTTCGTCCGATACATCCAGTTTCCCACTTTCTACTGGCTTAGGAATCCTAAAATAATATTATTACAGACAGAGTAAGAAAACTAAAAATGATGTACATGTTATTCTTAGTGCTTGTTGCTAAATAATTTTCAGGCGTTTTATCTACAGAAATGAGTATATAACAAATAGTTAACTAACCATCCTGGACAGACTTTTCAATCTTACTGAAAAAGTTTTTGAAATCTGAAGTTTTAATTTTCTTATTGCATCCACCTAATTTTGTTGAGCAATTCCAGTAACTTACTGGTAGCAAGACTCGGTAACACAGGAGAATCAACATGTTCCGGTGCTTTCTGTGCAGTCTCTTGGTTTTCTCGACATGGCAGTGGATCAGAAGATGACTCCCACGGAATACTAGTTAATCTAAAGAGAATCAGTTACAAAGCAGTACATAAAATATACACGAGTGCAAGTATTACAGATTTGAACAGTCTCAAAGAAGTGAACTAACCTTTTTAATTGATCTGTAGAAATATTATGCAATAAATCGTAGCAAGCCAATGATAAAGAATCCTAAAAGTCAATTATTAATTTACTTGTCAACAGAAACACCTTGCATTGTCGGCGTTGTATACTATACACAACACATTTAGGTGGAAACGAGAACGACTTCTGAGCCAGTGATAACTGGTCTGAATTGGCCAACTTAACTAATATATCATTTTGTTTACTGATCCCAGTCAGTAGATATACAGATGACAAGTTGTCACGTGCCTGGATATATGCCGCCATCAAACTAAACGAATATGCGTACATATATATATATATCTATTGAGAACCAGATAGATTACCGTCTCGATGCATCTATATTCAAGTCGAAAGTGATAGATAACCAACTTGCAGTAATCTAGAAAATAAAAGTTATCTGGTGCATATCAATACGCATACAAATCCATCTTCATCCTCTAGCTTCTCGTCAAGATTTTCGAAAAGTAGTTGATCCCCCATTATACATTTAATGGATCTGAATAAGACTGTGTAAACACGAAATATTAAAGGATTGATTATACAAGGTTAACTAAGATTAAAATTTCCAGTTTGCAAAAGATAGGGTTTGAAAATAAATGCCAACTCAGACTCTTGCTTTTGTATATCTAGACTTGAAAATATAGTCAAATACAGCAATTAAGTAAATGCTTATGTACTGGGTTTGGAATTGCATTTAATCAGATGAAGATATCTCTTATATTCTCAATATGATACACGAAAAGCTGTGTTTGAACTCAAAAGTTATGTCACAATCTAGCCGGTTAGGACTAAACAATAATGGTGTGCGCACTAGTGACCAACTTCGGCGAATTCTCGAAGGTCTAGTCAGAAGTCGTGACTGGCCTTCATTAAGCAAGTGCAAAAGGCATCATTAACGTGCTAAACCTAAAGCTGATATAATTCCGAAATGTAAACCACAGAATTCCAACCCAGAGGTGTAAAGAAAATAAGCTCGCTTCAACACCTGAAGGTACTAGTCCTAATTCCTGGTAGAATAACCAGTGGGCGCCCCTAAAGAGTAACCGACTGAAGCGAAAGTCATTTGTTCTTAAGTTTTTCATGGTGCTGCAACCCATAAGTCTGACAAAAACAAACTTAACTAATTTGATCTCCAAAACCAACTACCTAGATTCTGAACCTGTCAAGTACTTTAAACATGTTTAAATTATCGAACTTTAAAACCTTATAATCAATGAACACAGACTTCACTTGAAATAAACGCAGACCGTGGTACGAATTTAACTAGACAACCGTAGTAAACGACAGCCAAAAACTTTCGCTGGCGCTAAGAAGCTGGTTTTCATCGGTTCACCATAAGTATTAAATTTAATTAGACTACAAGTAATATTGAAAAACATCAAACTATAGCTAAGGGGAAGTTTATAGGATATCCTATAAGCTTTACTATAATATAGTAAAAGTGTAGTCGCTGATTCGATAAAAACTTTGTAGTCTGCATCTATTACTGAAACTTTTTAACGAGAAATGGCAAATAACTGTGACGGATGATTCAAGACACTGCCATTGACCGGCGCCTTTCCCTACATGGTCAGACTGTTCGAAATGTATTGCGCCAATATATCACCTAATTCTGATAATCTTCATCTTCTTATTACATTATCGAAATTTATCAGAGGGACTAATTGCTTTATAATTCTTTCACATGGTAGTGCTCACAATGATTTCAAAAACTTGATATATATATATATATATATATATATATATATATATATATGGATACTTTGTTTAATTTTTTATTTACGTAGTACCGAAGTACCATTAAAGTTTACTAGGACTATCGTCAGAATATATTCGAATGAATAATTGGTTCGGGGGAAAAACTCGTGTAAAGACTTTGAACCATCATCTGACATCAAGACAAATATAGACTTGTGCAAACTCGTTACAAAGAACATAAAATCAAACAACGCAAGCTATCTAGGAGTGATATTTGGATCAGAGATAACATCCAAAGTATGACAAAGTCGTATGACACTACAGATTTAGTGGGTAATGATTTGAGCTATGACATGTTACAGTTCAAACAAATGCAGTTTGAGAAAGTCGCATTATGCCCAACAACCAAACTGGACACACTTATCACAACCACAAACTTTAATTATTAAAACCAAAGATAGGAAACATGAAAACGTGAAGTAGAATAACTTTGATCAAATCACCGAAATTTCCAAGTTTTGGGGTAATCATAATCAATATCAGTGATCTAACCAACCAACTAATCGATGACTTTTGAACAAAAATTACGCTCCTCACTGAACACACCTAATGACAGCTGTAATGAGCAACTCAATCAGTTGCCTGGAACGGCAATTAATTGTCGCTGTAGTAAACCCCGCTGGGATGCGTGTATATAATCTCAGCTCAATTAGCTCCTAACTACTTGCAACTGCTCAACTAAATGTATCAATCCAAACAATTGTTTGGATAATTAATTATCCAAAACTTTTCACGTCAATGTCGTCAGTATCTCACCAGTGTAGCACGTACTATTAGCGTTCACTTGGAAGCAATAGATATCTAGAACACAACACAACAGTCAGGACCGGTAAACGCCACTGAAGTAAGAACTCGACGCACTGGCACAACAGATATATATTTAAAAATTGAAAGACGCGGTTCGAGTACAAAAAGGGAAACTTATTACAAAATGGATTTATTCATTGTTTTGCAGGTCCAGCTTGCGTAGGACCTGTTCCTCTTCTTCCAGTACGTTTATTCTTTCCTGCCATGCAATAAGGAAAACAAACCCACATTAGCAATTTTAATACCGCTACACCGGTCCCATTTAAGTCTTCCGCGCGATTCCAACCGTCAGACGATTTCGATGTTGTGTTGAAGTAAAACTTGAGCAGAAATGGCTAATTGATAGCCTCTTGAAGTTCTGTTCTTTATGAATAAAAGGCTAAACCCTTGTTTCATCCCCTTAAAAATCGAAAGATCGAGTTAACAAAACAAAGGGGAATGCTAGAAGAAACACTTGTATCCTCTCTCATTAATTTTGAAAATTAAATCATAACCAGCTTTCTCTTGAAATATTGAGCGATTCGCACCCAGCCCGAAGGAATCTTGGGTGCTGAGGGAGTGTGCGGAGAAGCGTGTTTAACGAATGTAGCTTTCAATTTTATACTTACCTTCTCCTGTTACTTCTCGTGGGGCAGCATAGGCTTCTGGCAAGCAATTTCTATCCATCTCTATTCTGTTCAGTCGTTTCCAGTTGTTATTCATTCTTTTCACGTCTGCTTCCAGTTCCCGACGCCACGTGTTCATTAGTTTTCCGCTTTTCCTTTTCCCTTCAGGATACCAAGTTAGCACTTGCCTCGTGATGATTTCCGAAATAGATGCACATCCCCATCCTCTCAGCTGGAAGCTGGTCTGTATTTCCCCATAATAAGTTGTTGCTGATGGTATTCGGTCAACAGAAATTGAGTATCTTACGTAGACAATTTTTTATAAATAACTGTACTGTTTTGATAATTGTCGTAGTCATTCTCCAAGTCTCAGCGTCACACAGTAGAACTGCCTTGACGTTCGCATTGAATCTTCTGACTTTGATGTTGAATGACATTCGTTTTTAGTTCCATATGCTCTTTTCCTGCAGGAATGCTTCCCATTCTTTGACAATCACTGCCTTCACATCTGCGTCAGTCCTCTCCCTTTATCGATTATGCTGTACAGGTACATTGAACTTCCCACTCCTTCCATTGCTTCTCCATCAAGTGTGATCGTGCTGTCGATCTCTGTATTGTATTTTGTGATCTCGCTATTTTCCTTGCGTAAATTGAGACCTACTCTTGTAAAGCCTGATGCTACATTGGCTGTCTTCACTCGGATTTATTACTGTGTATGAGATAGAGAAACTTGATCACCTATGAATTCCAAATCATCTAGTTGCATCCAATATGTCTATTGTACTCCGTGCTTCCCATGGGATATGGACGTCTTCGTCATCCGGATAACGATCAAACAAAAGAGGAAAGGCAAGAGTATACAGTCTTGTCTGACACCGGTCCTCACTTGGGATGCATCTGTCAGCTATCCTCTTTGCACAGCATTTCAGTCCGTCTTGTGAATTCCTTATGATGTTGACAATTTTCCCAAGTACGCCATAGTGTCATAGATGGCTCCATTAAGTTCTCTTATCCACACTGTCAAACGCTTTCTCATATTCAAGGAATTTGACCTATGGTTACGAGTTCCATTCAATCGAATGCCCATCGACGATCCATTGTGTCTCGAAGTAGTCAACACACGATCAATCCTGTCTGTTGATCTAGAGGTCGGGTATCTACTGAATCTCATCATGCTCGACAACACTCTGTTGAAAACGTTCTCCAATAGTGACAGCAGTGTGATTTCTCTGTAGTTCTCATACTTGCTCAGATTTCCTCTCCATCGTATCTTGATGAATAACCCTTCATTCCAGTGTGTCGGTGGCACTTGTTCTTCCCGCAAAATCCTTATGAACAGAATGTGGAGCATCTTTGCAATTAATTCTCTGTCTGACTTCAGTGTGTCAGCTAGTATGCTGTCTGGTCCTCCTACTCTCCCACACTCGATCTGTTTGATGGTCATGCTGACTTCTCCGACGGTTGATGGGGTGACATTTATGGTAAAGTCTGTATGTGTTGCTTCGACGTGTGGTGAGTTCAGTGTGTCTGATCTATTCAAGAAATATTCAAGGTTCTCTACCCACCTATTTTATCGTTCCTGAATCTCAGTGATTATCTTCTCATCCTTGTTGTTGACTAGTCTGTCTAGTTTACTACGTTTAGCTACTAGATTCTTTGTTGAATCGCACAGTTGTCTCAAATGTTCGTCTTTCATCTCCTGTTCGACAACAATGTTAAAAACGTTTCCTAATGCTTATAGTAATGTGATTTCTCTGTAATTTTCAAACTCACTCAAACTTCATCTCCGTGGTGTTTTGATGAGATACCCTTCTTTTTAGTGGTGATTATATCCGAAGGTTTGAAGGCTTCGTTTAAATTTATTTATGTTGAATTTTCGGTTACAGTAACACATGTCTAGACTTATTTCCTCCGGCGTCTACCACTTCTGAAGCTTTAAAAACGCTTTCGGAAATCTGTCTCATGTTTGATTTTACCCTCACTTTAATAGATTTTTTGTATTGCTCTCTCTGTGTTGTATAAAAGTGTAAGAGGGCATGTACTAAGGTTTATTGAAGCCTTAGCCATACAAAAATTCAACCCCCCTTTGTGTATTCAAAAACAGTTTGTTCTCACCTTAAACCTACCCTGGTAAAATTGACTTATTAATCAGCGTGATTAGGTTTCAAATTGTGTTCACATTATTATCATTACTATTATTATTACTCTTTACCCCTCATACGCCATTTCGAGTATAGTTGACCCTTTATTTTTATATATAAATGTTCTTAACAAGTATATGTGTGATCAGATTGTTCGAAATGGATTTCGCTAATATATCATATAGTTTTGATAATCTTACTCCTCTTACAACATTATCGAAAGCCAGATGAACTATACACTAAATTCTTGACACAAATAGCACAATACATTGCCACAATACTGACAATTATCTTCAATTTATCGGTTGGCACAGGTGAGTTATCTACCGACGAAAAGGATGCATTTATCACTCCAATTCGCAAAACAGGACCAAGACAACTTACATCAAACTACAAACCTGTCAGCCTCACCAGTGTCGTAGTTAAAATATCAGAAAGAATAATCGAAAAAGCCATAATGACACTCGAGGAAACAAACAGCTTGTTAAACAGAGAACAATAAGGTTTCAGAAAAAATTTATCTCGAACAACGAATCTCCCTATAGCAAGGAAGCAATGGGCTTCAGATAGCGGAGAATCAGTGAATGTTTTCCATATAGACTCCAACAAAGCATTTAATAAGCTACTGACAAGTAAGCTACTCTTGAAGATCGGAAATCTCGGCCTTGCCGGACCTCTCCTTAAATGGATTAAGGATTTTTTTAGTTGGTCGTAGAAGGAAGACGAAAATTGATCGAAATGCTACTTCTGGAAACCGGTATTTAGTGGTGTAATACAAGGCTTTGTCCTAAGTCTCTTAAAGGGTTCTACTGTATGTAAATGAACTCCGTATATAGTTGAGTCCCCGATGATGTTATACGCTGATGATGTAAGAATCTGGTGAAAAATATCAGAAGACGCAGATGTATGTGCACTTCAGGAAGACTCAGATGTTTTGATTAGCTGGTCTAAAGAATAGCTGATGCATATTAACTCAAACAAGTTGGTCTACTCGCCGATTGGTTATACAAAGCTAAATAGCTACAATATAAATGAAGGGTTTATGCCAGCCGTTCGAACTCACAAGGGCCTTGTGGTAAATGTGAGCGATTATCTGAAGACTTAAAAAGCTAGAACTCTTTAATCTGTCTTACCTCAGATTGGAAGGTGATCTGGTTTTGATGTATATAATACTGAGAAATGGTTTCGGACCTGATATATCCCTTTTTCTCCCTACTAGATCAGGCGGACTCACAAGACATATCAGGTAAGTAAAAAAGTCAGATGGCATCCAGGTTTTAACACCGAGTTATCGATTCTTGTATAGGACCAGTGCAATGTCAATGGTTCCTGTCCAAATCACGTTACGTAAGTCAACAGTCCACCGGTCCTCGTCGTGGTCAAGTACGACTGACTGAACTGGCCCAGGT